AGTAACAGTAATGAACAATATTTTTTCATGACAGTGATTTAAAAAACTGTGCCAGACTGAGGAATAAGAAAACAGAGAAATGTACAGAGAAAATGATGGCATCTAGAAGACCATCCAAGCAAGGATAAGCCATGTTCCTACACGTCAATGTTTCTCAACTGAAATTTTCAGATAGACTAAAACATCTATCAACTCAATGCAATCCACTCAAAACTCTGAGGATTTTTAAGGAAATGTGCTATACATAGTGTATAATCCATCCACAAAATAGAAAGTGCAGTCATGAGCAATATAATATTGGCACATCACAGTGGAACCATCTTGCTGTGCCACATGCCAGGGTTAGAGGAGCCTCTGTCTCAGATTCACCAGTAACAGGAACAGAGGAGAGTCATATGAACCCTGTCATAGGCAGGAATCTTAAAAACCTGAGTTCATAGGAATAGAAGTAGACTGGTGTGTCCTTGGCTGAGAGTGGAAGAAAGTGGTGTAAATGTTTGGTTACACAGGAGGGAGGATTTTAAGAGGTCAATTGTAACATAGTTTCTATAGTACATAGCAACATATTAAATGTCTCTAAAGGCAGAATTGGCAGGGATGCAATAAAATAATAAAGAGCATGAAAAAATAAAACTTACACTCTGCAAAAAGATAATGCCAAAGGAAAGAAAGGGCATAGACTGCAAGAAAAATGTTCTTCAAAAAGCAGATCTGAGCTAAGAAAATAGAATACCCATTATGCAGGTATAAGGCCCCAAGTTCAAATCTCCAGAACCCAACTAAGGCTGGGCATGGGAAGACACAGCCATAATTCCAGTGATCCTACAGAGAAATTGGATGTAGGGACAGAATCCCCACAAGGGCAAGGACTAGCTATGCAGAAAGAGAAACAAGACAGTATCTTAAAAAAAGCATCAGAAGCAGAATACACAACAGGCTTTGTCTCATTGAACAAAAGAACATGCTTTTCTCTTCGACCATTTCCAGCTGTATGATCTGTCTTCATGGGATCCGAAATTAACAGCATAGGCATCTGGCTACCTGCACAGACTGCATATAATCAGAAGTCTTCAGTAAGATTAACAGGGCTGATGGTTGAAAGTGGAGAGGGGGTTACCAAATTTCACTTCTTATACAAGGCAATAATAACCCCAGCTAAAGAAGGCAGGAGAAATCATCTTGTCTAATCAGATGTCAACTGTATTCCTGAGAAGTGACTTAAATCACAAGACTGTCCCACCCACTACACAGCTGCAGAGCATAGCCTATCAGCATAACTGATAGAACTTGTTTGGATCTCAAATAAAGAAGGAATCTTGTAAGAGAGGGAAAAAACAAACAAAAAGAACAAAAACAAAAGACCTGGATTAGATATATTAGAATGGTGTTGGATTAAACAAGCCCAAACCAATGAAAATCCAAATGACTGTCATTCTCATCATAGATCTCACTAAATCTTAGTTCAAGGCTATGTATTTTCTTATATGTAAGAAGGAGTCTTCTTACAATGTTCAGAAAGCAGTAATTGATTAAACTCTTTCTACAAGGCTTGGAACTCTAGGTTTAAAAGAATGTAGAAGATAAGGAACATGAAGATATGTAGGAGATGGGACCTTCTCAATTGTAGAGACCCACTCTAGAGAAGCCCCAGGGTGTAACTGAAGGGAGGTTGAGAGCATGTTTGATCTGCTGGACTAGTTTAGAGCATGGATAGTATGTGTTCTTCAGAAGTTTGTACGTGAAAGGCTGTAGACTTCTAGAACAGAGTTGTGCCCTCTGACCTCCACATCCATGGTACCACACATACTTCCCATCACGAAGACACATATATAATAAAAAAATGCTGTTGCTATGAATACAGTTGGGAAGAAAATAGATATAATCTTTTACAATGGATTTGACCAACTGTCTAGCTAAGGGTTAATAGTGAGAACAGATAAGGATTTGAAAGCTAAGTACAGTCATTCCTTGGTTTCCTTGGGGAACTGATTGTAGGACCCCTGTAGACACCAAAACTTAGAAAATTATTGAAGTCCTTTGTATAACAGACATAGATCATGCATACAATCTACATATATCCTTCCACAAAAGTTCAATATCTCTAGATTTCTTAGTATTTCTTATACCATGCAAAGGTATGTAAGCAATTTTATTATTGTTTAATAAAAAAGTCTGTGTACATTCAGCATAGAGTCCATACCCACTCCATTTCAAGGATCACTCCCCCACCTCCGTCATCCCTGTCAAGTGTCTGTAAACAGCAGAAGGTCATGGTTTGTTTTTAGGAAGGCTTGGTGGTAAGCAGTATAGAGCTTGATTAAATACAAAGGGTCCTAGCCAGTATACCACTGTAGAATTTCAGGAGAGAGATAATATACTTACTGCCGTTCAAACCCAATGAGGTATATTTTGTAATATCCCTGTTATATTCCTGAAACAAAGTTCATCAGTCATTCAAAACAATGAAAATAATCTAATTCCCTAACTGTAGTATAAAGAGAAATAAAATGAAAGTAATTATAAAAAAAGAAAAAAAGAGAGAGTGTCTTTAAAATAAAGCACAAGAAGAGAACTGACACCTGAGGCTGTTGTCCTCTGATCTCTATATCATGTTGTCTCTCTCTCTCTCTCTCTCTCTCTCTCTCTCTCTCTCTCTCTCTCTCTCTCTCTCTCTCAAACACACACACACACACACACACACACACACCTACACATAAAAAGTTTAAAAACAAAATAAAGATATTGCAAAGATTATTACCCAAAACATACAAGATTTTTAAAGATAACAGCAGCACACAACCCAAAATAAACATAGGCAAATAACCTGAAAAGACCCTTCTCAAAGCAAAATAAAGAGCAGGTGGACCTATGAGAAGACCTTGACAGCAGGGCTGCAGAGATGGCTCAGCGCTGGAAGGCTGGGCTCAAAGCCAAACGGCCAGATTTCAACAGCATATGCCACTAGGAAACTGTAAGTGAAAACGAGACACCACTACAACCTCTTATCATTGTAATGACACCAGGTAACTGTCCAAAGGAATGAGACACTATGTGCACATGAAACCAAACGTGTAAACCATAGCTGTCTTCACCATTGTCAAAGCTGGGAAGCCGTTGCAGTATCTTTTAGTAGGCAATGGACAAACTGTGGTTGATACAATGGAATGGATATTTTTCAACACTGCAAGAAAATGAGCTGTCGAGCCACAAAGAGACATTAAGGAATCGTAAATTACATGCTTCAAATTAAAAGAAGCCTGTCTGCAAGGCCCCATCCTGGATGATTCCAACGGTACAACCTTCTGAAGAAGGCAGACAGTGAAAGTTGCTTAGGGATGTTGGGAAGGAGGATGAACAGGAGCATGAAGGATTGTCAGGCCAGTGAAGCTACTCTCCATGATACTGCTGTGATGGGCACCCGTGAGCAAAATACAGAACATACAGAACCCAAGCACAAGCAGGTTCATCGGCTGGAACAAATGCAGCCCTGTAATACCACATGTTGACCCCTGTGGGGGGACAGAGAGCAGGGGCTATAGCCAAACACTATTTTCTGCTCTCTTTCACTGAGAATCTGAAACTGCCCTAAAAAAAAATGATGTTTAACAATTTTTCTAAAAAAAAAAAACTGAGGAGCCGGAGAGGTGACTCAGAGGTTACCGTTCTCCCAGAGGACCTGAGCTGGATTCCCAGCACCCACATGGCAGCACACAACTGCTTCTAACTTCAGTTCCAGGGAATGCTCTCCAATTCACCCTCTCCTGACCTCCAAGGGCACCAGGCCCAAAAGTGGTACACAGACTTACATGCAGGTAAAATACCCATATATGTAAAGTTTACATTAAAAAAATCTTTTAAAAGCTGTTGGTAATTTTTTATATTTCCCACAGTTTTAAAAATTAAAGATAATACATTAAAATACATATGCATAAAATCAAAATTCAATAGATATTCCACTGAATTTCATGAAGAAAAGTTTGCAGTCCATATATACATTTGTATATATATGTACATTACATATATATGTATTTCAATTTAATAAGAAGAGGCAAGGGAGTTTTGGGGATTGGGTGAATTAGAGGGAGGAAAGGAAAAGGAGCTGATGGTATATTTTAATTTTAAAAATAAAAAGCACAGTAAAGCTCGCTGATACGATTTTAGATTCTGTATTGCAACTCTTCTTTTTCTCTTGGCCCGGTTTTGATGTAGCACGCTGAGATCCTGTGGTTATCTGAAACGGCTAACAAAAGTCCTTTCTGTACTTCAAGCCAAACAAGCAGCACAGACTGGAAGCAGCAGGAAGACAATTCAGGTGTCTTCTATCAAAGCAGGCGTTAAGATCTACAGAAAAGCAAAGCTATACCAACTTTCTATCATCTCCCTGGAGATCAGTTTTTAAGCTTTGTTTTGGTTTCTCGAGACAGTTTTTAGTTTTGAAGTACGTTAATGTAAAATGTATGGTCCTGTTGTTTGCAATACATTCTTACATTTCTATTTTAATTTCTAATATAGACAGGAGATGACTCACATCAGACAGTGCTGGCAGCCCGCCCCTCTCTTTTCTGCTCCCCCAAATTGTGAGGAATACATGACATGGAAGCAAAAGACACGTTCCACAAGTTCTACAGGACAACTGGAAACAGCTCAGAGCTAGAGACAAGTGCCGGATTCACAACTTGATCACCACAACCTCTCAAGTTGCACGAGCATTTAAACCAACCTACTTCATCCCCCAAACTCATGCAGGATTCTGCCCCTGCCCAACCCTCCTATGCACGGCTACAGATCTCTCCGAGCTTGGGGTTTTTTGCTCGCTGGCTTTGCGTTCGCATTTCCGGATCAATTATTATGACATGCACATCATCTGTGAAAGGAGTGTAAGTGGGGTTCCAGAAGCGGAGTGCTTTTGGGGGATACACTCTTTGAGCTTTATAACGTGCATGACAGACCTACAAGAGAAGTGTCTCCCAAACTCAGTGCCAGCCCCATAGAGCGCTCACCAGGTCCTGATGCCAGCACTCTCCCAAGCATGGCCAACAGCAGTGGGCACAGCGTGGTGCCCAGCATGGCGCCTTCTGGAACACCTGGGGGGGGCAGTTGCAAAGCCGTTACAGGGGGCCCGTGGGGCGCATGCCTGGGACTCCGGGGGCCACGTCCTTGGAGCGCCTTGGAGCCTACCCACCCCTACCCCACCTCCATCTGATACCACTCACCTCAGCTCCCACACGGGTTCCCCGCTGCTACAAAACCCGCACATGGGGAGCTGGAGATGCTGCGATGCCATACAGCCCCTTCCCCGCCAAAGCACAGTGTATGTATGTATGTATGTATGTATGCTTTCTAAGGTTAAACTAAGATTTATTTTGAAGATGTGTGGGGATATTTTTCAAGAAAGATTTTCTTACTCTGGGTCTATATTTCCACAAGCACACTGCTCCTTGGACTCGCCTCACGCTTTCTTACAACCTGGTTCTCCGGGGCACTTGGACTAAAATTCATGTAACATCGTCCCTTTTAGAATTTACCAGTACGATCCATTAATTTATGTAGCAATGGCTGATCCCTGATACATTCAGCCCATGTCCTAGCTGAAATCTGTAGTCACGTGCTTCTCAAGTCAGACTACTGTCAGTCAGGCACTCTCCTTCCTCAGAGGTTCTGCTCGACCTGCAGCCTTCAACACTGTTTATTTCTCACTAGGGATGGCTCACCAGTGTTAGTATATACCCGACTGTTAAAATACTTATCCTGAAAAATCAACTTTCCGTCCTCTAATGTGTTTTCCTTAAACAGCCATTGTGCACAGTTGGCAAAAGTCAACTAAGACTAAATAGTTGTGTACTTAGAAAGTAACAGGAAGACCAAACATGAACTTCAAGTATTTTATTTGTTGTAAATGTTTTTATTTTACTATGTATATATACACAAACCAAAGTATTATTTTAAAAAACTAATGAAATTCAGTTAATATACCTATTATTAAACTTCTTTATGAAAGATTATGAAAAACTTTAAGTGTTTAAAATTTTAGTGTCAATATCATTCCTTTCAAAATACAAATTCATTTTAATACAGCTGAGACAGTTATTCACAGAGGCCATGATAATTTCTGTAGTTTTCTAAGGAAATCATTTCTTCCTTCCTTTCCCCACCCTAATTTTTATGAAAATATTAGTCAAAAGAGACAAGATCCAGCACATCTTAGCAAATGTAAACATTCTAAATGACTCAATATCAAGCTTTGAAATTCAGAGTTGTGAGTTAAAGTGCTCATGAATTCTCAAGTGGTTTTACAACAGCTCACCTGGCGGAAGGCATTCTCCATGCTTCTGATCAATCCACACCAACTGCTTGGGTCTCCTAAATACCCCGTACCATAAAGTGTGCACTTCAATTAAAACGACACTACTGCAATGCTTTACCATGATGTGTAAAGAAAATTTAGTGTTAAATTAATTACTGCCATAGTCATTATAGTTGAAAGATCATAAAAGAATGGAAGCTAGGAACTGATTTAGTGTTAAATCAATTTCTACCATAGTTCTTATACTCGAAAGATCATAAGAATGGAAGCCACTAACTGAATACACACCATATTTCATACTTTCAAATTATGCCATGACCTAGTAATTGTGGTTTTTGTGAAATCTTCAGGATAGCTGCTTATTTGTGGAGAGAGTAAGAGACAGGAGTCTGTGTAAATGGCTGTTAATCCATGCAAGATAAAAGCATAGACATTATTGGCAGTTAGTCAGTTTTCCTAGGTTAATACATGTTCAAATGTTCAACCAGAAACTATTAATGACAACTGAGGTCGAAAAGTCAGGATTACATTTAAGCACATAATGACAAATCTTACACCAACACAGTTAATTTGAGAATCATTTCAATAGTGTGTTCAAAATAACTTAATCCACATTAAGTACATTAGACTCACAAATGACCAAAGAGGACGTTTTAGTGATGGAAATTTAACTCTAAATTTAACTCTAAGTCTCCTAGAGTGTCTGCACATTCCGTATTTCTCAGCCCCCAACTGTGTGTCTGTGTTAATAAAGCTTGTTTTCTGGTAGTTTGTTTTCATTCATAGTTGGAAGAGAAAGACTTTTCAAGAAAACATCAGGAAAAAAAAAAAAAGCATTTGCTCAGTTCCCTGAAGATGTTTGAAAAATAAGAACCTCACATCAGGTGAGGGAGCTATACAATGGAGGTGCAGGAGCCGGCCGAGCAGGAACCAAATTTCCCTGAGATGATATTTTTGGCTGTGGTGGAGGCGGCCTGTGAAGAGGAAAAATAAATTAGCAGAGTGTGTGGACTGAATGACATCATGCTGGATTCATGACAAGCTCAACACAACACCGCCCTCAGCCCCTCTGACCATAGGTAAGGACACTTTCTACTCTGTGCTCTGAGATCGCTGTTCAAATGGCATTCAGTGGTAAGGGTACCCAGTTTTAGAATTAGTCTAACTAGTCTACAATGGGGTATCACACTGTGTGTGTGTGTGTGTGTGTGTGTGTGTGTGTGTGTGTGTGTGTGTGTGTGTGTGTTGGAAGACCAGAGGTCAAGCAAGTGTCTTCTTTAGCTTCTTTCTCCTTCTTAGTTTTGACTCTGCAGCTCACTGATTGGCTAGGCAGACTGGCAATGAGCTCTAGAGCATCTCCTGTCTCCGCACACTCCTTTCCCCAGTGCTGGGGCTGCAGACAGTATGTATACCTTGGCCAACTTAGAGGTGGATGCTGGGGATGTGATCATAGGTCCCACAAGCACATTCCCTCCTAAGCACATTCTCTCCAGCCTTCATCATTACTTTATATTGATGTTACTCCACATTATGGAAAATAACATACATATAAGTAACAATATATAGAGTGAGAAGATTTTATTTAATTATTTATTTATTTAGGGAGGTAGATAGATAGGCAGATAAACAGACAGACACACACACATATATACGTATATACATATGCACATATGTAACAACAAAGAGACCATGAATTTGAAAGAGATAGGGGGTACATATGAGGGTTTGGAGGAATGGAGAAATGATACAATTATAATTGTAAAAAATTAAAATCTAAAGTAAATAAACAAGAGCTCAAATACAGAACATTACTAATATATGTGAAGCTCTGAGTTCAATACTTTGTGCCACCAGAAGAGGGAGGGAGGGGGGAGGGAGGGATGGAAGGAGGGAGGGAGAGAGGGAGGGAGGGAGGGAGGGAGGGAGGGAGGGAGGCAAACTGAAGAGGGGGTAGGGTGAGGAGGAAGAGGAAGGGATAAAAGCCTAAGAGAGTCTTTTGTATGTCTTACCCCAGCTGGGAGCAGCATGGAGAGGAGACGACAGAAGAGCATGAGCAGCACAGAGCAGGTGGGGAACATTAGAGATGGAAAGGTTCAAGTAGTGGGTGAGGGCAGAAGGATGGGAGAGGGGAAGGGATCGGTGGGAAGGCTCATCAAAGTTAAGGGTGGATGAAAAAAACCCTAAGGAAACCTACTACTTTGTAAGATAATTTAAAATTATAATGTAAGACATAAAAGAAAATTAGTTTAAATGGAAGTACCCTGCATGATGGAGCATGCTGTTGCTAGAAGCCAGTCACTAAATAAGAAACAGTGCCAGGTGTAGGATACCTACTATGAATTGTTGGTCAAGGAGGCCCAAGAGGCCTTCCATGTAATGTAAGTTACTATCATTGACCTTGACTGTCCACCAGGACTGAAAGGTAAAACCCTACTGGTGAAGACAAAGCACACTCGGGCTGCAGAACACAGATAAACTAGCTAGACCAGAACTGGAACCTTCACCTCTGCTAGCTAACCTTCATATCGCTGAAGTGTGTTCTGTCGACTACTAGTGAAGTCACCCAAGGTCTTACCCACCCATGGACCCTGCAATGGTTCAATATAACCCTGCCAAGCCAGATGTGCTTACTGGTGCGATAGTGTCATGTCCATGATGGGGTGCTTTCTAGATGAAAGAAGTCATGCTTCCCACTCCAATCTGGAGGAACCAGAGGCCCTAGTGGTCACGCTGTCAAACCGCTCACCAAATATTTATGTTTATACCCATATGCTGCTCTCAGCACTGCTCAGAGAAATGTCCTTTTCAGTGGGTACTAGTGAAAGCAAACACTTATGACTGGCCAGAGTGCTGAGGCCGTGTGACAGCTGACACTCGGTTCTGAATGGGACATCTATATTTCCCCCTCTGAGGTTCGGGGAACATGGAAGACAGGAGAGAAGAAAGAAGAAAAGAGACCAAGAACTGCAGATGCGCTGTGAAACCTGTCTCCTGAATACGACCCGACTGCTGCACTCAAGAATTTGCAGACGTGGAAATTACTCAGACAAGATCAAGTCTAGAGTAAGGCCACCAGCATTCCATCACATATGCAGGAGGAACTCATATGACCTGACCCGCCCCAAGGAGCTATAGGAAGCTAAGGGTTGCTGGGGGAGGGGCATCCTGTTCCCCAGCTATTAGCTTTCATTTTCATTTTAATATTGTTTTACGTCTTTATATTTAAAAATATTTTAATTAAAACATTATGGGCAGATTATGGGTATGTCTGAAGAGAAGGCTCAGCAGTTAGGAACAATTGCTGCTCTTACAGAAGACTTAGTTTCTGTTCCCAGCATCCATATGGTGGCCCACAACCATCTAAATATCCAGTTCCCAGGGAATCTGACATCCTCTTCTGGCCTCCGTGTGCACCATCACACATGGTATACATACATACTAGCAAACACTCATACATATAAAATAAAAGTAAAAATGTTTAAATTAGGGGCATCAAACCACTGCTTAATGTAAAACTAAGTCTATATTCGCACACAGGATTGAACTCCAGATCCTTCAAACAGTGTCGAACCCGACATTTAAACAAGCCATTGTATTTACACACATTCATCTCAATGTTCAGACTCTACGCTGTGGACACCCTTCCTAACCTCTGCACCAGCTTAGTACCCCACACCTCCCACACCACACTATCTAGAAAATAGCTCCCGATTTACACATTTTTCTCTTCCTCCTCAGTGGCACTTCAGTGCCCTCTTCCTGGACAGTAAGTTATACATGTAGAAACCACTGGAATGGGAAAGATTTGAGGAGTGGAAGGAGTCAGATACGTTTCCTATGACAAAGTATAGCAATGTATTCACGTGTCCTTCAAACCTTGCTACCAGTCTATCCCTCCAGTTCTGGTTGTGTTAGATTCTGGAATTTGCATTTTTTTTTAAACTTTGCAGTTCTAGGCTGAAGTCTCACCCTGGACCACTAATATGATCAGTTATATAAAACCCATGTCTGATGACCACTAACTAGACAACCCCTGATTTTCTTTTTTACAGTGTATTGTTTAGTTTTAGCCACAATTTCTATACTTGTATTCCTGGTTCTTTCATGTAGAAATCAATCAAGAGTGACCATCTCTGACCCTGGGTCCCTAAAATCTGAGAAGTTTGTCTTGGATGTCCCCCTGTGCAGAGCTCTAACTTTGCCTCCTCTGCCCTCTGAGTTCCTCAAACGTTCCTCTCACCTCCCTGGTTCCTCTCTGTCATCAGAACAGGTGGATGGATTTGTGACAAAGTCTTCCGCAAAGCCAGGCGCCTCCATGTGTCCTGCTCTGGCCCCGGCCCCCAATTCCCTGCCTCCTTGATCTTTTCCTTTCCAAACAGTCGCATTCTCCTGCTGTTGGCTTCTCTAGCTATTCTCTGTGAGAAAGCAGGCACTGCCCGCAAGTCTCCCACTCCTGATTATTTTAAGGTCCTTGATTCTGAATTCTATACATACCAAAAGCCATATAGATGGCAGTCTGACTCAGTTTTCTCTAAGGTTTCTTTCTGATGTTGTACTACTATAACAATATTCATATAAAAGTTATTAGAAAGCCTTCTCACAATTGTGTTCTATCCAAACGTGTTCCAAGTTAAATTACCTAAGTACCTTGCCCTAAGTCGACTTAAATGGGAAACTGAAAGGAATTGATGCCTGAATTTTAGTGTGGTCAAGTCATCTAAACCCATTTCTTTCCAACCTTGATGGAAACTGCGGAGGCTGCTTGGCTGCATAGGTTGGTACTGGAAATCTGTTTGCATTCACAGGCTGAAAAGAAAAGAAAATGCATAGTCACTGCTAGAGTGTAGTCATAAATCCATCTTATAAAAGTAATTGATACACTTCCCAGGATACTTATGATGCTATATTCAGAACTACTTTGGGTCAGTGAGCAGGGGCGAGGACCAAGGCCAGATACACAAAACTCCTCATCTGATCTCCAAGACAGCAGATCAAAAGTTTCCTGTTCGACTCATCTTTACTACTAAATGTTACACTTCCTTATTTCAAGGCTATATTTTCAAATTAAATGATACTAAGGTATAACAATATTGAATTAAATTAACTAAATACTGCCAATAAATTTTAAATAAAATACCCTGAAATTTTATTAGCAAGCCTACATGTTATCTAACTGATACTGTGAAAACCAATAACCTATTATCCCTGATATTAGAATCCATGATACTATCCTTGACAAGGCAGTTGAAATATACCAAATATTAACATATCTGCAGCAGAGACAGACTGCGAAATAAATCCAATGTCCTATTTTCAGTCATCTGTAGATGGTGGAGACATCAATAAGGAAATCAATAAGGAAGCATGAGACATGAACTACAGCTCTAACAGACACCAAATAGTATTCCATTATACCAAACAGCAATATATCCAAACAGCAAGAAATCACCATTCTCTAGTGTACTGAACATTTGTTCAACTACTAAACAAGTCCTAAGAAATAGAAGAATGCTGAAGTCATTAGACATTGCTTATCAGTAAAAATATACCCTTTCCTGTACTTTGTAATACACTGGCAGAAATGATGAGGCCCACCCATGAGCTCAGCACCAAACCTTTGGTAGCATGTCCTAGGGGAGCCAAGTATTGAAACCAGAAAGAACCGACAGAAAGAAAAACATCCAACCCCAGTTCTCAATCTGCATTTTAAGGCAAAGTATTCTGGATAACCAATGCCTCTTCCTACATCTTCTGAGCCAGACTCTCTGGTTCCTTTAATTTGAGGACCACCTATTATACCACCCAATTCTTAGTAAGTTATCTATTTTTAAACATATGAAACCATTTTTTGATCTTGCCATTTTGTCTTTAGGACTGAAAATGAAACCTACAGTACTATATACATGCTAGACAAGGGCATTGCCACCAACACATTCCTGGCTCCCTTTTAGGTCTTTAAATGGGCAACAATTGAACACAGTAGGAAACATCATTTTAGGAAACTTACAGCTTCTCTAGATGGAGCAACTGGGGGGACATGCTGAGGGCGACCTGGCTGTCGAGGGACACTTGGACCCCCAGGCTGTCTAGAGACGTTTGGACCCCCAGGTTGTCGAATCATGCTTGCTTGATTTCTGCCATCTGATCTGAAAGACATGATTCTTTTGAGTTAATTCATGAGAAAACATTTGTACAGGACACACTACACATAGCTTCAAATGTCCTTAATGCAAAATTAAACTGTAGCTGTGACAACAGAGGAAAAGCCAAGGCCTCTGTGGTATTTTTAATGGCACTCACACAAGTCTCATCCATCCTTGTGGAAATAAAAAGGATTCCCAGCCCCATTTCAAGATTCAATAACCTGAAATTCTAAGAATCTATGAAATCCAATCAATTAGGTCAGTGTTCTCTAACTTTCTTCCTCAATTTTTATTAAAATAGAGAAAATTAAGAGCAAATCCTGAGGCTGCATGCACATTTGGAGCAGTTCATACCAGCTAAGCATCAACCCCTTGGAGGGGCGGGGCATCTACCAAGCAGGTGCACAGAGACTGCTCTCACTGTGTAACTAAAACTATAGTCTCGGAAGTGTGCAGGGACTGGCCAGTCACAACTGTGATGGCCAGCAAGGGGGAGGGGGGACAGGATACTTTCAACTCTGAAGCTCGTATCAGCACACTGCAGGAAAGTATGTGACAGAGCCCCAAAGTCTGCAGGGCATCTGGGATCATTATCAGAGCTACACGAGAACCACAAGCCTGCACTGGGCTTCGCTGGTGTTTCCTCATTCAACCTTTACAAACCCTACAAAATAGGTGACATTACTAGCCTCATTTTATAGGAAAGAAGCCCAGACTCAAAGAGTTATGTCAATTTCAGTTCACATTTTTACCAGGTTACTGACAAAAAATTTGAATGCCTATTTGGCTATAATGCCCTTGTTAACATAAACACTAAATGCTGATTCAATGCATTAGAAGTGACTTTTGGTGGGAATGTCTATAAAAGTTCAACATACTGACTGAAAAGCAGCAGGTGTCTGAATTAACTTTTTCCCATCAAAACTTAAATTCTGTTTTCAAAACTGAGAGCTGAAACATCCTTTATAAGAACTGATACATAAAAGGAAGACACAGAAGTTTCCCAACACATGTCTTATCCTTATCCCATGTTTTAATCTCTTGATAGAAAACCTAAATCAAATGTCAAGCCCTAAATTCTACTTGCAACTATCAGAAATCAGTGTAATGCAAAATGAGCCCTAAGGACCACTGTTAACAGCAAACACACTATTCACCGCAGCCCTTCCCCTGCCTGGCCTAAGAGGTGGCTTGACCACCAGTCTTTCTTTTTCCTTTTCTGTGCGTCTGTGTGCGTGTGCACGCGTGTGTGCGTGTGTAATCCGCAGGTAGTCCAGACCAGCCTTGCACTCACGGTCCTCCTGCCTCGGCCTCCCAAGTGCTTACACCACAAGCCTTCACCATCCTGGCTAGTTCACCATCATCTTTACCCCATGCCTACCACATCAAAAGAACAGGAAGAAATCACAGAACCCTATTTTTAAAAGATTTCCCAGTTCTAAGATGGATCATTAATAGTTACATTAAAAGAAAAGGCTAAGACTCATACGCTTGCGATCTCTTCTTTCTGAAGAAGGTTTTCCGTAGTTCATTTCTCCTGAGGAAGAGGAAGATGGCAACTGCAACCAGGGGGATGACTAAGAAGAACAACACCAGGAGTCCATCCCTCAGTGCTGTGCTCTTTGCTAGAGAGATAAAAATACATTGTGGTCAGTTACATCAGACATCGAGGTTCTCCACCCAGAATGGGTCGGGTCACTGTATATTTCACACCAGCATTTTTCCTACTTAATCTCCTAGTGTTTCCTCGTGCAAACGTAAGAAAGGACAAACTACATCTCCTGGTCATCCTTTGTTACCCAAGAGGCAGCATCCTACCAACAGACACTACGGGAACATCACGTGTTCACCTGCTCCTGTCTTTCTACACCATACACAGAGGCTTCCTCTTCTCGATACAGCGACACAAACAGTGAGGGTTTCCAATGCGTGCTGTTATCTGTTCATCATTTCAGGACTGAAGAAATGGTACATCATGTGATTTGTTCTTAAGCCACAGCAAATGTGTGACTACAGAATAACTTTCCCCAAAGAAGATCTGTTCTATATCAAGGAAATACATTCATCCTTCCTTAGACGTATTAGGTCTGTACTCCACAGTGATGGTTAAAACTTGGTACACTCCTAAACAGTATATGAAAAATTTCCATAGTCCCTACAAGGCCAAAATTCTGGCTTTTTCCCAACATGGCAAGTAAAACAAAGAATGGTATTGCATGTGATTTAAAATTACATTTTTGTATGGAGTTGAGCATTTTTTCCATGTTTTATACTGGATATTTGGTTTTCTTTTCCATTTCTTCAAGCTTACTATGCATCAAAGATTTAGTTTTAGCTACAATATGGCATGGAAATGTGCTGCCCATTTTCATTATTTGCCTGTCGTATTATAGGTCTCTCCACATGCAAATAACAAGATAAAAATTGACAAATCCTTAGAAAGATCGAAAGAGAGAAAAATCAGTAAAATCTGAGTTGAAAAGGGAATATTATAACAGATACCACTGAAATCCAGAGACTATTAGAGAAGTGTTTACAACTCCAATAAGTGAGGAAATCTGTCATTATTTAGACATACATCACTTCTCCCAATAAACCAAGAGGGCATTAAGATCTAGTAAGTCAACAAACACTGAATCTGCAGCTACACTAGAAAGTCTTGCAGCAATGACTAGGCACAGGCAGACTCACAGATCAGCTCTCAAGACTTTGAAAGACAAACTGACATCGGTTCCCTTAAACTGTTTCATGCATTAGAATAAGAGGGGATGCTTCCAATAGCAGTCCTCAAAGCTAGTGTCACCCTTATTCAGAGTATGATAAAGCTGCATCCAAAAAGAAAATGAGGGAGATAAAGGGGGGAAACTATAGATGAATGTCCTTCATAGAAACAGACACAAGATCCTCAATAAAATACTTGAAAAACAAATTTTAAAGCATACCCTAAAAATGTATACACTGAAAACAACTAATACATGATGATTAAGATGGTTTCATTCCAGGATATAAAGATGACTCAACATATGGTACAAATATCAAGAAAATGTCAGCACACAAACAGAAACCCATGGGATTATCTCAAGATACAGAGACTATCCCCTCATGAGAAACACTGGGTAAACTATGTGTGGAGGGACCTCAGCATAACAAACGATATGCTGAGCACAGACAAGATTATTAGGAGAAGTGAGGAAAGCATTTCCTCTAAAATCAGCAACACAACAAAGGTGCCCACTCAGCCTGAAGCCTTCTTATTCATGGCAGTACTGGAAATTTTTGCCAGAAAAACCCAGTCAAGAAACAGAAATAAAAAACACTAAGAGAAATAGAAGAAGTTCAACTACTCCTGTTTGCAGGGATGATTTTCTATACTTCAAAATTCCCAAAGATGCCACCATTTACTCTTAGAACTGAGTTTTAAAATGTAACTGAACCATTATATACTTTTATTTAAAATTTAATACATGGAAAAGAAAAAAATACACCAGAGTAAGGGCAAACCAGGGACATTATCCTGTTTGTAGTAGCCTCAAAACAAAACAAACAACAAAATCCAAGATATAAAACTAACCAAGAAGGTTAAAGACCTCTATAATGAAACTGACAAAACTGAAGACCTGAAAGACACGCCCACATGCCCACACATTGTTAAAATAACCTGTTACCACAGCCGCCTGGAAGCAGTGCCACCCTTCACGGACGCTGAACAAACCCCTGAAAACTCATTTGTAGACACAATAGGCCTCAAGCACACCAAGCCATTCTAAGCAACATGAGCAATACATCACAGCACTTAGTTTCAAAACACCCATAGTAACAAAACTCCATGGTGTTGGCATAACAATGGGCACACCAACTAACAGGGGTTCAAGAAATAAACCCACAAAGAGAGAGCAAGCTGAATCTTGATGGAGGAGACATACACTTGTGTTAGAGAAAAGACAGCCACATCAGCAAACTCACAAAGAGCCAAGGACCTGCGTGCAAGACCCAACTCTGTGAAGTTACTAGAGAAAAACACAGGAAGCGTTTGAAGATGTTAGCATGGAGACATCCTGATTAGGAATCCATACCTTAGGAAATAAAAATACAAACTACTCAGAAGAATTGCAGCAAACTAGAAAGACTTTACATAACACAGTATATAGGCAAACTACAGAATGCCCACCAGACAGGGGACTGATATCCAGAATACATAAAGAACTCAAATATTTAAACACCAACAGTAATCCCATCCACAAATTCGCAAATGAACTAAGTACTTTTTCAAGAGTCATTGGGCCAGATGGTGGTGGCGCACGCCTTTAATCCCAGCACTCGGTAGGCAGAGGCAGGTGGATCTCTGTGAGTTTAAGGCCAGCCTGGTCTACAGAGTGAGTTGCAAGACACAGGGCTACACAAAGAAACCCTGTGTCAAACAACAAAAAAAACAAAACAAACAACAAAAAGAGTCTCTGGGGTAATACAAATCAAACTGCCCTAAGACCCTACCTCGTCCCAGTCATGTGACGATTAACAGGAAACATGGAGTACTGCTGGGGTTGAAGAACAGGAAAGAACACTGCACACTGTCGGTGGAAGTCAGTCTTAAAAGCCTAAACTTAGAATAAGCAGGCAGTCAAGCTGTACTCCTCATAAGGATATACACAAAATAAAAGATCATAGCAGAGATACATGCACATCCATGTTTACTGTGACATATTCACAAGGCTCAAAGTAGGCCCTGTCCTGAATGACAGTGCCACTGATAATGTCCTAAATGACAGTCTGGGCTCTGCTGAGCCAGAGCCCTGACCAAGTAAACAGAAACCTCGGCTCAGCATTCCTCTGAAAGCTCACTGTTTGTCAAGAAAAGCCATTATGTCCCCTACCTGCCCTCTACAGTCAGTCACCTCCAGCAAAGAGCATCTGGGTCCCCATTAACCCAGACAAATCTGCAACAGATCAAAGTCCCCATGCTAACACTCAGGCTGTTGTGGCCCACACCCCACCTCCAGCTGCTCTGACTCCCAGGCTGCTCTGGCTCACACATGCTCACCCCCCCTCCAACACACACACACACACACACACACACACACACTCACACACACACACTCACACACTCACACACACACACACACACACACACACACTACCTGTCCCCTGAAAACTGGCAAGGCTTTTCCCACCAGATGTTATCCTCTGCCCCCAAGAGACAACCTGGAAGTTTGATCCCCCAATAAACCTTTCTTCTAGTTTGATGGTTTCGCTGTGCCCTTGCCTACATTAAGATATAGAACCAACTTAAGTGCCCATCGGTGAATGAATAAATATAACTACATAAATATAAGCAATGTCAATGGAGTATTATTCAGCCATAAAGAAAAACAAAATTGTGTCAATTGTAAGAAAATAAAATTAGGGGCCAGAGAGATGGCTCTGTGGTTAAGAATGCTGGATGCTCTTCCAGAGGACCCAAGTTCAATTCCCAGCACCCACATGGCCACTCACAACACTGGCCATAACAAGTGTTAGTTGGAGAGGCTCCACAGACCCAAAGGAGAAACAGACAGTACCCAGGACCAGCTGTGCTCTGACTACATATACATACCTGTGACAAAGCCTCCTTATACAATGGCATAGTAAGAGGCTACCACTAACAAGTAGTAACATAGAACCATTGCAACACACTTCGATAAGTATTACATGAATGTGGTATTTTTCTTTCCAAAATGTCTTACTTACTGCCTGTGCTCACCCTACGTTTTTTGTTTTTTGTTTTTTGTTTTTTTTTTTTTTTTTTGGTTTGGTTTTACGAGACAGGGTTTCTCTGTATTGTTTTGGAGGCTATCGGTCCAGCCCAGCCTCGAACTCACAGAGATCCACCTGCCTCTGCCTCCCGAGTGCTGGGATTAAAGAAGTGCCCCGCCACTGCCCGGCTTCACCCTACTTCTTATGGTGATGGTAGTCACTGAGATTCTGGCAGGCAGGGAACACACCTGGTAGTATTCAGGCATCTGTGCTGGCCTGTCCTTGGGGTCCTGACAGGACACGCCCTCAGCTGCAGTCACTAAGAGCACCACCTGTGCACATTCACTATGTTCCCTTTTAAATGGACCCTGTCCACCTCCCATCTTCCTTTCTCTCTCTCTTTCTGTCTGTCTGACCCCCCCTTTCCTGCTGCCCCTGTCCCCAGAGGCAGGTTCCCCCCTCCTCCCCTTTCCCCTTTTCACATTCTTTTCCCTTAATAAAAAACCTCTCCATTTGGGCTCTGTTGCTTGACATCTTTTTCTCTCTGGAGCCACTTTTTTTAAACATTATAACACCACCTACCAGAAATCAGGAAGAAACTGCAGTGAGTATCAATGGGCCCAGAGCCAATGTGGGGATTATGTCTTGCTGGAGGCACAGTGAAGTGTGACTGGGAGCTAAACTGAGGGAATTCCTGCTGGGCACATCTATGTCATGCTAAAGACTTTGAGTTCATCCTAACAGGTGCTTAGGGACTGAGCTGAGAGCAGGACATGTATAGTAGGAGCTGCAAGGAGAGCAGCAGAGACCCCTGGTGGTCTGGATGCTCAGGGCAGGAAGCACGGTAAGGGAGCTAGAGAAGAGCTAAGCTCTAAGGACAGGCAAAGCCCTGAAAGAAACTGGACTAAAATAAAACCCCGGAAACATCTGCAGCAGTGCAGGAAATGGAATCAGCACAATTCAACGCACAGCTGAAGTGGTGAGTGAAGAAAGGGTAAGGATGCCAAGTGATGACCAGGGCAGCTGGAGGCTACCCCAACCCTTCAGGGTTACTTGCCATTGTACGTGGGCCCGCTGTCCACACTTCCTCCGTATCCCTTAGTCTCACAATACGGGGGAGCCCAGCCATTTTCACAGTGACAATTCTTATTGCTATTGCACACCTTTAAAACAAGCAAAATACCACTTGTTATTTGTATTCTCTGAATCAACCACAGATGGAAACCAAGAACTAATTCATACATTACCCTCCCCACACAGGCTCTCACTGTGTAGCCCTGGCTGGATTGGAGCTCACTCTGTGGATACACACCACCACACCCAGCAAGTAAGTGTGTGTGTGTGTGTGTGTGTGTGTGTGTGTGTGTGTGTGTGTGTGTGTTCATGTGTTACCCACATGAACAAACTCTCCCCAACATCCACCTAGAAGCCTTGACAATTCCCATCTAATCCTCATTGGGATCATCACCTCAGCACTACCACTATGCACAAACCAAAGGGAACATTACTTACCCCATGGCCATGACATTTTTTCTGAATGTCACAGTCATAATTCAGGACAGAAGCATTTACACACTGGAAATTTCTACAAATCTGAAAAAAATAAACAAAGAATTAAGTGATGTACAAAAAACTAGACACATTAAAAAGAATACAAGGACCAGGTGACAATGGTGCACGCCTTTAATACCAACACTTGGGAGACAGGGGCAGGCAGATCTCTGTGAGTTCAAGGCCGGCCTGGTCTACAGAGAGTTCAAGGCCAGCTTGGTCTACAAAGTGAGTCCAGGGCAGCCAGAGAAACCCTGTCTAGAAAAACAAAACAAAAGAATATGAGGGAAAAAGGTCAGCATCATGATTATTTCATTGAGGGATTCTTGTTTTTAATTTCTTATTACATTTTGATTCCGGATGTGTGTGTGTGTGTGTGTGTGTGTGTGTGTGTGTGTGTGTGTGTGTGTGTGTGTGTGTGTGTGTGTGTGTGTGTGCATGCTACAATGTGTGTGTGTGTAAGTCAAAAACAACTTGGTTTGGTCCAGAGGGTCGAACACGGGTCACAGGGCTGACAGCAGGCATCTTTACTGAGTCATTGTGTTTGCGGGACCCATCTTTGGGGGATTCTACCAACTTTCAAGGCACAGTTAATTCCAATGTTATATATTTTTAATGTAGAAAATGAGTGAAATTAAATAACACCAAAAATGATTAAAAAGACAAAGATTGATTAAATTGTAGTATATCTTTTTATGAGTATAGAAATGAAGACCTTTCAAAGGTAAAGAAACCACATGCTGAGTATGACAGAGCACATCTATGACTCCAGCACTTGGGAGACTGAGGCAGAAGGACCATGAGTTTGAGGCCAAAACAGGCTCTACAGTGAAACCCTTTCTCAAAAATATAAAATAAAAATAAAGGGGCATGGAGTTGCTGATAAATCTAGAAATAGTTCCATTTTAAAAAATTTAAAAACAAGTAAAAGAGTGATTTATTTTATAATAAAAGCTATCTTTTATTATATCATGATTAATAGTAAAATGATAGAGGAATTTCAAGGACAAATTGAGAAAGAAATCATTATAATTTTATAAGGTTCTAGAAGATATAAAATAGATTTTTTAAAAAGCCCTAAATATTCAAATAGATTTAAAAAAGAAATATCTCTGAAAATATTATGTTACAAAGTATAGTAAAATATCAAGCTACTTTTACTATTCTAAAAATAAATATACAAGGGGCTAGAGAGATGGCTCCATGGTTAGGAATATTCATCTAGAAGTGACACATATTTAGCTCATTAACCATGACTGTTAACTGTATTCCAGAGAATCCAGAGAAACTTAAAGATGTATGTTCAACATCCTAATCAAGCAGAAATCACCTCTCACAAGCGCACACACACACACACACACACACACACACACACACACACACACACACTGCCATCTCTTCTGCTAACCCTTGAAAAAAGAGAGGAGTATGTTTTGTTGATTATGGTTTTGAAACTAGATGGCCAGCACCTCTTTCTGTCACAGCAATCATTTAAAGTCCCTGATCACCCACTCACATGGATGTACTGGTTGCCAGTCATGGGCTGGCAAACCCTGAGCAGGGCAAGCACTGTGATCTTTTTGACCCAGAGACAGACAGACACATGCAAATCCAGGAACTCAAGTTCCCATTCCAAGAATTGTGGAAACCACCTAAGTTCCCTAGTAGGAGCAACCTGGTTAGCAAACTATAATACATTCATAGAACAAAGAAACACGTATAGTGTATTCCAATATGGAAGACATAAGAGGACCCCTGTGAAGAAATACAAGTAGAACAATTAGAGTTGTACCCAGGTTTCTACCTGGTGACTTTGGATTTCCTGGAAATACTACTATATTCAGACCTCCCTCCCCCAAAGGGAAGAGGCCAGCCACTACCTTTGTATGCTTTTTAAGGTGGTTTTTGTTTGTAAATAGAAAACACGGGTTACCTTTCCAGCATCACATTTTGTGCCTTCATTCACCATCCCTGGATCTGGAACATCTGAACCAAGCTGGAAGTCCACACCCCAACATTTGGTGCCTCGGCTAGGCGTCTGAATGATGGCTGGCACTATTCCAAACACTGGCATGTCCTGTACGTTCTCACACTGCAGTTTCCCACACAAGGCATTCCTATTGGGCAAGAGAAGCAATGGAAACGTGGAATGTACCCGGTGGACACACAAAAGCAGTTTTTATGCTTATATGTAGACATGTCTGCTGTTCGTGGCCGAAGGAAATCTTGACAGAAAGTCAGCACAGCTCTCCTGGAGCAGCCAGGAAGAGAAGAGGTGAGCTGCAGCCGAAATGCAGTCACCAAGTAGGGTTCTTTCACTCATTCTCAACAAATGCTTAATGACTACCATATTCCAGGTATTATGATAACCGTAAAGAAGAAATGTGTCACCAAGCCTAGTCTGGTAAGGAGAGGTGGCAAGCAAGTGATAAAGAAGTGATACTGTGGCAAACACTACAGAAGAATAGTCCAGAAGTAATGGTGAAAGTCTGACAATGATAAAAGGGAGATTCATTAAGACTTAACCCTAAAATGTATCTATGCCCAATAACAAGTGAAAACATGTAACATAGAAGCTTATAGAACTAATAAGGAAACAGATCTACTCAGCCTCTCTCGGTGAAGGAGCAAGTACATTCAACAGCCTCAAAGTCAGAAACATTTGATTAAAACAATTAACCAGCAACAAACACAACTAACACATCCAACAATTGAAGATGACGCATGATGAAACAGAACAGTCTCCTGAACAAACTACATGCTGGGTCATGATGCACAACACAGCAAGAGCTGGGTATGCAGAATATGTGCTTTTTAAAATTGTCTTAGAAACCAATTATTTGTTGTGTGTGCATGTACGTGTGGTACATATGCTGTGTGTGTACATGTGGAAGCTAGAGGTTAACAATGATAACTTGAATTGTTCCAACCTTCCTTTTCCGACAGAGGGTCTCTCACTAAATCTGGAGCTCACGAGTTGGCTGCACAGGCTGGACAGTGAGCCCTAGGGATCTTCCTATCTCTGTACCTCCAGAACTGAGATCATTGGTGTGCACTGGTTTCCATGTAAGCACTGCAGATATGAATTCAGGTCTTCATGCTTGCACATAAGAACTTTACAGACAGAGACATCACCCTTGCCCAGAGTCTTCTCAATGAAATTAAACTAAAAACTAAAAAGCAAATTTGGAAGTTAAACGGTAACTCATGAGTCAATGAAGAAATCATGATACAATTAGAAAATGTTATTGTGGTGGTGTGAATTAGAATGGTCCCCATAGGCTCATATACTTTAATCACTAGGGAATGGTTCTATTTGAAAGGATTAGAAGGATTAGGCGGTATGGCCTTAGTGGAGGACGTGTGTCACAGGGTAGGGCTTTCAGATTTCAACGCTCAACAGGGCCCAGTGTCTCTCTCACTCTTGTCCTTCAGATCAGGATGGAGCTCTCAGCTACTGTTCTGCCCTACACCTGCCTGCCTGTTGCCATGTCCCCACCATGATGGTCATGAACTCACCCTCTGAAACTATAAACCCCTTTAACTCTCTCTTTTATAATCTGGCTTGGTGATGGTGTCTCTGCACACCAACAGAACCGTTACTAAAACACTCAGTATGACTAAACACTCCTGCAGAGTTAAGGACCAAGAAGTAGTCATGCTGCCACTGCTGCTGCTACTGCTGCTTACCCAGCACCACCCTCCACTAGCTGCTGAGCTCAACCAGGGGCAGCACACAGTACTGCAGAATCATCCCCACCGAGGAAAACGCCAGTGCGGTGTGTGCAGGGTACAAACTCAAAACGGAAGGAAACACATTGGAATCGTGTGTCTTCATTTACAATTTTTATAGTAAGTCAACAATAGTTATAAGAATAAAGCTTTTGACATTTATTTATTTACTTTGTGTTTCTGTGCATGTATTACCCTGCCCCTGCACAGGTACGTCACAAGGCATGTGTGTAGCTCAGAGGAGAACTTGCTAGAATCAGTTCTCTCCACCTACGGTACGGTTCAGGAGACTGAACTCGGGTTGTCAGGCTTGGTGGAAAGCATTTCAACCTGCTCAGGCATCCCACCAACTTACAAGAATAACCAGAAAGTCTGACTTCATCACTTTAAATGCATGTAAGGCTGAAAAGGAGAAATAACGAAAGACCCAATTGACTGAGTAAGAGAGTGTTTTCCTGTAGGAAGGGGGAGGGTATTTAGTCGGGAATCTTACTGTAGATTATGGATAAACAGAACAAGGTTCTAAACCCACTAGATTCAACAATGCACGCGAGCAGATGAAGTGCCTCAGCAGGCTTGCTCCCCTCTCTGAAGCCTCGCTGACATGTCACTTGTGAGAAGCTAAGCTCTGGAAGCAGGAGAAAGGCAGCCGTCACGGGGCCAGAGATGACTTGTTCACAGTCCTCTACACCCTTGCCTCCACTTACCCAGTGGCACACTTCTTGTACTCACTGCCAGAGAAACCACAGTTGCCAAATCTGTCACCTTTCGAATTCACTTCAATGAAGCAATCTCTTGGGGCAGCCTTGGCTTCTGCAATGTTTAACATCCAAAAAAGAAAAGAATTATGGTAACTTTACTTAGAAACAGAAGTGCTCCCTGTGACTCTTCACACATCTGTAGGGACTAGCAGCACACTTCTAAAATTTCAGCCTTACACATATGGCATCTTTGTTCCACACATCACACATAACAAAGATGTGTAAAATCAAGGCTTAGCTTGTACATAAAAGCCTGGACTCTAACAAACACCATTAAATGATTATTACAGTTAAGACTCATGCACAGTAAAGGTGAGTACTGTCGAGATGATTCCGACTGAGAAAGACATAGATTATAAAGCCCATCTTGGTGTATCTGAGGTGTGTCCAGGACTCTGATTTCTAGACTCAATCCATTGATGGGCTCAAAATATGATAAAATTATTGGGAAATAGGGAAAAGTAAGGGGCAGGATCTAGTTGGAGGGCAGGTCACTGGGTGGAGGGGGCTATGTGCCCTTGAAGCCATATCTTGCTGTGGTCCCTTCTCCTGAATCCTTCTCTTCCTGTCTCTATCCACCATGGGACAGAGAAGCATCTCTGCCACACAGTGTCATCACTGTGATGTTCTTCAGATGCCCATGGACTGGATCTCTCAGAAATCAGGAGCCAAACGTTATCTTCCTTAAATTCTTCCCATGGGTAACTGGTCACAGCTATGCAACAGTAACCTGCTCATGCAGTGAGACACAGCTTCAAGTGCACTCACTCTCTGCTCTCACATACCCATCCCTGCTCCAGAACATCAGATTATTGCCAGCTGGTTGTCATTGTACAAGGGTGCTTAGGTTAGACAGAGTGAGACCTACACCATATGAAAAAGGATTAACCCACTCTTATTTTCTTAAGTCCTCCTCATTCCTAAATGAGATCCCCTTGCATCTACCACATGCCTGGTGCAAGGCTAAGTTAGTTTTAAAGAAGATAGACATGGGTGAAAAGAGTTAGAGCCCCAGAGGAAGGGGGTAAGTAGGAGGAGAAATATCCAGAAGGCTGTCCAGGAGAAATGTCACACCTTGTTCCCGTCCAAGTCCTCAGAGGACAGGGAAAGTTACAGATTTTCCAGATGATATACAGGAAGGGACTGAGCCAAATCTGTTTGCTGTTCCTGCTGACTCAAGGATCGACAGAGGAGAGAGATGGGAGACAGAATTCCAGGAAAGCTCTTTGCACAAGCCATCAGTGTCAATAACCAGCCACTACAATCTGCAGAAGTGTGCTGAAAAGTGACATCCCCCCCCAGGGGATTCAACCATGTTCAGCTGATTAAAAACTACAAGGGTGCAGCACAGTGCAGACCAGGGGGTGGGACCCCACTAGCACCATGGATAATCAAAATGAAGCCAACTGGAGGCACCACAACCCCGTGTCTGTTTTCCAAACCCTGTCCCAGCACCTGTGACCAATGGGGAAATTCTACCAAGAGTTGACACAGGACGAGAAGAACAAAGCGTTTTACAGATGGCAAAAGTGAACAGTTGCAAAACTGTAGACTCTTTCTAGAACATCCCTATAGTACCTTTTGCTCCTCCCTTTGCTTGGGAGGAGAGATGGAAGAACACATGACTGTGACCAATTGAGGTGCTTGGACCAAACCAATCAACAGAAAGGAAGCCCCATCCTGTGAGCTATAGGCTACCTCTTTTCACAGCCACCTCTGCCGTCACCCAAATACACTGAGTCTCTGATACAGCCCTATTTCCTGGAGGATCAGCCAGCACCTGGTTACCAAGATAACTACACTATTCCCTTTCCTGCCCTGAAGGGACAACACTTTGTACTCACGCACATACACACCACCTATTTTGCCCAGTACTGGTGGCCCAGAACTTAGGGCCTGTGAATACTAGCCAAGTGCTGTACCACTGAGCTATATCCCAACACTATTTTTACTGTTTGAGACAGGGCTTCACCAAGTTGCACAGGCTAGCCTTGAACCTGTTCTGCAGCCCAGGCAGGTCTTAAACTTGAAATCCTCCTACCTCAGCCTTCTCAGTGGGATTACAGATCTATCTACAGCACTCAATGATACTGTATCTTTACTAGAATGGCTTGTTAGAGTAGTGGAAATTCATGTAAAAGACTCAGTTACAGTGTAAGGGAGGACAGGGACAGCATTTCTTCAGAAAGCCATGTATGCTCTGAATCAGGTCCAACAAATGATACCTATAACCACAACTCAGGGTGCAGGTATTAGGGGTGGAAATGGGAGTGGCTGCTCTTTAACAATATGCCCCTAGTGACTCACTCGGCAAAAACACACTTCCTGCTCCCATGACTTCATGCTCTGACAGCTCAGAGGTCTAAGTGTCCAACCAAGAAATTCTTCCACTAGATGCCCCAATAATGATTCCACTGGAGTGGAACTTCTATCACACACTCAATTATGCTGGGCTCCTCCTGCCTCTGAACTAACAGAGAAAGGCTTTGCAAGTGGCTAGGTGACAGACACATAACCCTACATGGAAGCAAGAAGAGCAGGCCTTGGAATACAGGGGTTTTTCTAAGGATTTATTGTATCCTGTCACAACCAAATCCAGTGAAGCTACACATGGCCCAGACCCTTCAGAAATGAATGTAACCAAGTAAGGCACTTACTGATGGCAAAGGGACACAGAATGGGCAGTGTGACAGCACAGTGTAGAACGGAGAGCTGGAAGTACAAGATATGACCACAGAGCAGCTACAGCCCTGAGAACTATAACTGCCATCAATGTCTCATTTCATCATGACTACAGCTGTGATGGCATGACCCATGTCCTCCCTCTCCAGTCTTCATCGTGTGCTGTAATATGTACTTGACTGTGAGCTTGGAAGAGCACTCTGGCTGAGGCTAATACTATCTGCGTAGAGTGAACACAGCAGGCTAGACTCATGGATGTGCTTCAAACAACCCTTCACATTTGAAAAGAACATACAACTGACCGGTAGGAGAATTTTTCCCAACAGACATCAGGCTAAGACACCTACAATGTTCCTACCATTGGAATTATACTGAACACCAGCTCCTTCTGGGTCCTGAGCCTGCCATCCTTGAACAGAATGACTCCATTAGCTTTACCAATAGCAGAACTGCATGAGTCAGTCCATCCCCTGTGTGTGTGTGTGTGTGTGTGTGTGTGTGTGTGTGTGTGTGTGTGTGTGTACCATGTGCTAGAGAGAGAGGAGCACACAGCATCAACTGAGTCACCAAATTAGACGAAATTCCTAAGCATGACAACCACTGGAGGAAGAAGGATGAAGATCCGAGAACCTCATTAGTAAAAAACCTAACACAAACAAATGATAAAATCAAACCAATCAATTGTAAGTATCTTACTTGAGCCAAAGATGACCTGACACTGCGCGTCGTAATACTGGCACATGCCATTGTAACAGTAGGCTTTGTTATTCTGGCAAGGGTATCCATTCTGGATGAAGACGTCTGCTGGACAGAACTGAGAGGAGCCATTGCAGTACTCGGGGACATCACACTCATTGTTCTTTCCTCTGCACATAGAGCCTCCTGGGAGGAACTAAGGTAGTGAGATTAAAATTAAATAGGGATATCAAGATAACCTCCACAAACTCATCAGATTTAAAACCACGGTGTATGTACAAAGACTAAACTGTTCAACTCAAAAGTGAACAAAGCCCGTAACAGGCTATTCATAAATACTATAAGATGAAAAAAAAACCTCACAGGTAATCAAAAGAAATGCAAATTATATAAAAACACGAGGACCGCAGTGGAAGCACTGCACTAACTGAGGTGACAATGACAATGACAATGAGTTTGAGGCTTGCTGCTGTGGCAGCATGACAGGGGGTGGGAGGTGAGGACAGGAAACTACTCAGTCCAGGAAGAGCTCCGCATTCCCTGCTGGATCGTGGGGTCACGAGGCATGCCACCCCAGTGTTTGATTTGGGGTTTTGTTTCTAAAGGGTTCTGGGGGTCAAATTCAATCCTCTTTATTAACTAACTCCCCGACCCTTAATTTTCTAAAGTCTATACTTCAGTAGCTCTGACTTTTCCCTACATGTTACTTTAAGAAGAAAATAAACGATGAGGACACAACTCATCGGTAGAGTTTACCCAGCAAACACACAGCCTTATGTTTAATCCCCAGTACACCAAACCCTCAAACTGACTCAATGGGCCCTCACAGAAAAAGAAAATGCACAGAAGTGGGATGAAATATGAAGTGACCATATAATAAAAAGAGAAAACTCGGAAGATGCATTTCCATATATCAACGTTCCTTCTCTGACTTGTTCCTGATAGGGAGAATTCCTTGCCTGGCAATCTTTACAACAGTCGCCATATGCACATTCAGCAAATGACTTGAGCTTACAAGTGCTTCCTTCACAGCACGGGTCCAACTCACATTCCTGCAAAAAGAAAATGAGTCAATAATGAGTCCTTGATGGCAGCAGCCGTCAGTAAAGTCTTTTCCTGTCTATAACTTCATCATTCCAACCTAGCCAGAGCCGTTTCTCTCCCCCAACTGTGCTTCAAGGTACATCAGCCTCTTAAACTGCATGCATTCAAGTCTCAAGATATTTCAAAAGACAGCTGGTGATTCAATAAGAAAATACCAGACAATGGGGGATTTAAAGAATGGAAATTTATTTTCTCACAGCAGTGAAAGCTGGAAACACGAGGAGAAGGCTCCCACAGAGAGCTTTGGGGAACCCTCTCTTCTGGCTGGCACACACAATATGGCCAATCTTCAGTGCTTGCACTGGAGAGAAAGCTGGGAAAAACCGCTACTGCTTCTTCTAAAAACATGGTCCCTAGTGAATCAGGGCCCCACCCTTCAGTGCTAATCTTAGTAATTTCCTCAGAGACCCCACATTATGCTTTGATGTGTATTCTGAAGGACCACAGAGAGGTAAATATCCATGGATGCCCTTCTCTTCCTGTTCAGGGCCCCACTACTTTTCTCTGGGTGGACAAACTATTCCTTTATTGTGGGGGAGGAGGTGAAGTCTGACCTCAGTGCCCTGTACATGCTAAGCACACACACTGTACTGAACAGCATTTCTCAGCTCCTGTCACCATAGTTACATTTCACCTCCAACCTCCCACCCACAGACACCTATGTGAATATAGAAATTTTAACACCCTGGAAGTGTGCTATAGCCTTGTAAGCTGCCAACACGGAAAGAGGAGTTCTATATACTGTTCTGCATCCTCTTGTCTGCCTACAATTGTTTCATAATAGTGTTCTAAATTAACTCTTCCTTTTAATTAACATGTAATAATTTACATACCTATGAGACAGTGCAATATTTCATACAGTCAATGTATACTGACCAAATCAGGGCTATTGTTATATAACAAAAATTAGAACAAATGAGCTACAATCTATACTTTCAAACATACAAATAAAAGACAGAAAAAACTAAGTCAAGATGGATCATGGACCTAAATATGAAACCTCTAGAAGAAAATCTGTACCCAAAGCATCAGCCATAAAAGCAGAAAGTGACAATGGCTTTCGTCGCAATCAAAGCTCTGTGCCTCTAAGACACTGCACATAATTCAAGGCACACTATTAAGCTGACTAGGTCCCTTTCCCCGTGGGAGCCTGGAGTGCAATGGTCACAAACAGCAGCCTCCTTGGTAGTATATGTAGCCTGTTGCCTATATGACTGCCCTACAGGACCCTGGAGGCCATTTTCTGGCAACTACTCAAGTCTCTGATCTCAATGCTGACCCAAGTCTAGGTTCCAGACAGGTATGCGTGGTGCCTTTGGGAAGCCCCAGGGCACAGTGGCCAGGGTCACAATGGCCAGGTCATCATGCCCACCGCACCAAGATGCAGAATACGTGATTGATTCAAGTTCCCTGGCCGCCAGAAGATCCACATCTCAAAGAAATGGGGCTTCACCAAGTTTAATACAGATACATTTGAAGACATGGTTGCTGAGAAGCAGTTCATTCCTGATGGCTATGGGGTGAGATATATCCCCAGTCGCAGTCCTCTGGACAAGAGGCAAACCTGAGAGCTTCCACAGTACTCTCTTTTCCCCTACCTAATCATGTTTAGTAAAAAAAATCTTCAGTCAATAAGTAAATAAATAAATAGACATTTACAAATCAAGTATCTAGTAAAAGATATAGATAACCAAGATAAATAAACGAGAACTCAGTAGCAAATAATACAATTTTTCAGATGAAGGTAAAGAGTTAAACATATACCACAAGATACACAGATGGCACATAACTACACAGAAGCCTGCTCAATAGCCTTAGACACCAGGAACACGCGCAGCAAGACCTAAGGGAATGGGGGAGGGAGCCTGGACAAGGACAGCACAGAAGGAGAGGAGGAGGAAGAGATACAGAACAACTGAGGGTGTTTGGAAAACACTCGGGGACTGCATTCCTATAGGGTTATCTAAAGTTACACATAATATTTAGGTGTGTGCATATACAGACATGTAGCTTAAATGAAGTGACAACTCCTGGGTGATAATGTCCCCAAGAGCTAACAGAGCCCCAATTCCAGGCATGAGAAATCTCCTCTCGAGTTTATTGGTCAGGAGAATTCGAAGGGCTTGAGAGAAGTCATGGAATGCATCAATCACACAGACTAAAAAACAATGTTCTCTTAGGATACGGGAAGGCTTTCCAGACTAAGTATGGCCAGGCAAGAAAACAACTAAGAATAACACAGTAGGCCTTACATCTGAGCAAATGCGTTCCAAAGCTAATGGCAGTCCAAGAGGAAAGGGTTAAGTGGGTGTTCTGAGGCGATGTGACTAGAGTGCTGTAACAATGAAGGGGACAGAGCCAAGGCCACAGAGCCGAGGATCCACGGGTAAAGGGAAGACTAACCGAAGGACACTGGTGCTTGAGGATGAAGAATTCTGACACTCATGGATGCCTGAGGATGAACCAGTGCAATTCACTTAATGCATGAATTCAGCTCAACAAACACTTCTTCAATGGCATGACCAGAATGGTGAACACATAAAGAACTAGCCAGTTATGTAATGCCAGTAACAAATAATTCAACAGCTCCAATAAATATAAAAGACAGATAGGTAATGTTTAAAAAGAATGGTATCACCAGGCTTGCCTGAAGTCAAGGCCTGAAGTCGTGAGGCAGGTCCCTAGGAGCTGACCATCTTAGCCGGACAACACAACAGCATTCCTCACTTCTAACACCCGTAGTCACTCCTCTCCCAGAGGCGCCCAAAGCCAAGGGCTTCAGTTCGGCAGCCCTCACAGTAATCTCAAAGCAAAGCTGAAGGACTCACTGACCTTGGGTGTGCCACAGTCACACTCTTCCCCGGGGTCCACCAGCTTGTTACCACAAAAGGGCGCACTGTAAGCTTCATCAGGCTTCGGGACATTGAGAAGGCAGCTTCCTCCCTTATTTAAAGTTAACTTCTCAAAGTCCTCCGCACTGCAACTGCTGAAGTTTCGGGAACCTCTACAATAAACATTAAGGAAAAGATCTCACATCATTATCATGGCTTATCTTGAAAGTTCTTAGTCATGTCTTTAACTAATAATACTGTAAAAGGCAGAGAATAAACAAAAATAGGCAAAAAGGAGGCCATCTATGCCTAATAAATACTAGTTACTACATAGCTCACCATTAGTTACACTATTATGGCCTCCATGAAAGTATCTTCTAAGCATTATCGTTTGTTAAAACATTGAAACAAAGATCAGAATTCTTTCAATCTACAGACCTTTAAAACCTAACCTAGTCTCATTCAGAACTGAGCTTTGCTTTTCTAAAATGTTACACTTCAAACACTGGAAGCTACCTGTGTGCTTCCCAATCTGTCACCTGAGGTGTGATGCCTGAGGTTCCCTTCCTCGACTCATACTCTGGGAGTCATGAGGAAAACACACAAATGGGCAATTCCAGCACATCTGCTTCACTGTCTCTGTGGTAGTTTGAGTAACAATGCCCCCCCTCACAGACTCAGACATCTGAATATCTGTCTCAGTCTCTCTCTCTGTGTCTCTCTATCTCTGTCTCTCTCTGCCTCACGGTTATAGATCACGATGTAAGCTCTCAGCTGACTGCTCCATCACCATGTCTACCTGCCTGCTTACCTACGCTGACATGCTCCCCGACATGACAGCAATGGACCCAGCCCTCTGAAACTGTAAGCCTCAAATAAACTCTTTCTTATGTAAATTGCCTTGGCCATGGTGCTTTATCACAGGGATAAAAAAGTAATCACCTAGACGCAGCTTGCACTATACAGTCAGCTGCTCTAATGACAAATTTTCAGTTTGAGCCACAAATGTCTTTTACGATTTAACTCCTGCGAATGACTGTCACTCTGAAGGTTAGATGGGCTATACATATGAGAGTTACATAAATTCAACTTTGATATGCTAGAGCTCGCTTTTTTTTTCCTTTTCTTGGCTACAGGCTTACCCAGTTGTGGCAATACATTATAATAAAAATATCTCTTACATTATAAGAACCTGGAGATTTTGTTGGACCTCACAACTAGAGTTAACAGCACCTTGAGTCACTTAAGACTGCTGTCCTACTGTGCACTCAGCCTGTTTGTTTAACCTGCCTGTAAGAGAACAATGTGACAACCAGCCTTGCTTGCCTTGGATTTTCTATATAATCAACCTTTACAACCTAAACTACAACCTTAAATTATATACCCTTCCATAGACCCTAAAGAGAAGTCCAGGCGAGGCTGTGAAGAGAAAACAAAACAAACAAACAAACAAAAAGGTAGAAAACAGCATATTCATAAGGAAAGTAACAAGAGATGCCAAATGGCCTAGAAATCTGTCCTGTGTTACAAACCCAAGAGAAATGAGATCTCTATCATACAGACTCCGGATTCTCTTGTTTAGCATTACTCACTGAAGCCAAGACCTGGAAACAACTTAAGTGGTAGTCAGTGGACAAATGGATAAATATACTACAGTACGTATGCATAAATTCCATTACACACATGTGTACTTATACTCATATGTGTGTTTGTACATAAACATACATATATGTGCATATATAGTATTACCCCGCCTCAGAAAGGAGACCCACATGATTGGCCACAACATGAATGAACCTAGAGGGTTCTGTGCTAAGAAAAATAAGCCAGACACAAAAAAAGAAAAATATCACATGACATCAATCATATGTGAAATTGTAAAAGAGAAAAATGAAGAAACAGAAAATAAAAGAGACGGATGGAAGCAAATGGGGAGACAGAGGCGAAAGGATACATGTCAACAGATACGCGGGACTGGGAAGTGCAGAGGCCACGTGCAACATGATGCTGCCATTACCACCACAGAATAATGGGAGCTCTGCTACAGTGGAAGGCTTGAGGTTCTCCTGCCACAAAAGGAAATCTGGGTAACTATGCAGGACAATGGATGTGTTAATCTGCCTACAGTAGTAATCATTTCACCACCTAGGTATAGTGGGTGTCTTCGTCCCAGAACTCAGGAAATTGATAGAGAATTTGAGGCTAGCCTGGGCTTCAGAGTAATAGATTTTACTTTTTTTTTTCTTTAAATACAGAGTCTCACTGTGTAGCCCTAGTTGGCCTCAAACTCACAGAGATCTATCTGCTTCTGCCTCCTGAGTACTGCATTAAAGTCAACCTCACCCAGCAATGTTACAGATTTTAAATGTAAACAGTAAAAGCAACATATGTAATATGCCTATAGCATGATAAGGCATGTAACATGTATGTCTGTATACAGTGCAATATATAATGTACATAACGTACATGTTTTATTTATAATATATGTGCATATGCCATATAGTGTATATAATATACATGGACATACCATTTGTATACAATGCACATATATCTATAACTGATAATACATAGTGTATGTATGACAGGCATGTATACACACACATATATAATCAATCCTTTGCCATCACCAGAGCAAGATGCACAAGCACCAGCAGGAATGGGGTCTGTCTGTGACTGGGACTTTTGGAAATATAAAGAACTCTAATCCACAAATCCTTTTATGACACTTTTTGCCCCAAATTTCCTGTCAGCAATTTTGTTTGCTAACAAGGAAGCAATGAGCCTGCTCCTGTGTCTAGAACATTCCAAACCTGTTAATTATTAGACACAGTCTGGATGTGAGACATTGAAAGGCTTAACCAGAATGGTAGAAAAAAAGAAAGGAAAAAAAATGCAATCAATTGTTTATAAGGTCTGCATTTTGCATTTTTTCCTCACTATTCTTGACGCTCTTATGGGGATCCCTTGGTGTCATATCAAACACTGTGCACCCAACAAATAGTTATTGGATGTTTGCTTGAATAAGCTATTCTACCCAGTTCAGGGAAGAAAACCATGAGCATGGCAGAAACCCTTTCTGTGAAGGTCATACTCCAGTGAGTGGAGCAGACGGCAAGCCTTGGTGGGTAATTTACCTGGAATGACAAAAGGTGGTAGTGATACCGTGGCAATGAATTGTGGGAAGGCTGGAGTGCTTATAGCTGCAAAAGGACAGCCAGTCCACAGTGGCTATCCATACATCATGACACTTCACTCAAAACTGGAAATCTGGGAAAGGGATGTCACAGAGCGAAAGAATAACATGACAAACCCTAAGGCAGAGGCTGTGACATGTTCTGGGAATAATATAAGACAGACTGTGAGCAAAGGAAGGAGACCATAGGGAAAACACGACTTCCTGCTCTAAGTGGAATGTGGTCACTGTGACTGGGCAGGACACCAAACAAAGGACAAGCTGTGACTCGTGTCAGTAGGATTGCCACTGCCACTATGTTAAACAGGAAGACTGGGAGAGTGGCCTCCCAGAGTCCACTCCACAGACGGTGACGAATCAGAATGACATCCTTGGAATCGGAAAGTGGTAGATTATTTCAAGGACAGTGTGTGAGAATATGAGAAGTCAAGGCTGAGTGACAGAGGAAAGTTAGCAGTTGCGAACGTGGGAAGTCTGTGGGCAGATCACAGTCTGTGGGGATAGCCTTGGGGGAAATGATTGGGCATCAAGTAAAACAGGTTTGTAAATGTTTACATCCTCTCATTGATTTTGCCTTCCATACTGTTCATGTGATAATGTTGTCTGTAAGAATGTACTCATCAGACGACCATAGCAGCTGTACCAGCGTATGTTTATCCTACACGCCAGCCCCTAATTACAACCTGCACAAAGGCTATCTGAAGAGGCTTCTTAGTCAGCAGTTGAGCCCCACTTTCTCATAATGTTTGAAAATTTGAGCCTAGAGCAAGGTACAAGAAAAAATCAGTTTCAATTACAATGAAGTTACTACAGTGCTGAAAATCTGAACAAAATCCTAAGCATGTGTGGCTATTTATAGCAGGTAGGAGCTGGGATTTTAGAAACATGACCTAACATTGGCCTCAGCAAATGTCATAAAAAGACTGAGGCAACAGAAAAATACCCCCACCAACCACCGCAGGATAGCACACAGCAGAGAGGATGGTACCCTACCCTCTGCCTGTCACTCCAGATGACACACGAATTATGACTTAAAACATTTCCCCCCACTATTCACTAAGTGAGTTCTGAAGAGTTACTTCAAAATGAAACTGGCAATGAAGGAAATGATCTGCCATGATATGACCAAAAATATCACATGTCGTAACTCATTACTTACACTGCTACTCTATTTCTGTGAGTAACCCACAAGTGACCAGAACATGCTGTCACCATTACCACCCTATGTCTACAAAATCCAGGGAAGAGACTAACAGGGCATGAGAAAGGGAAAGCACTGACTGTGAGGGAGGCGGTGGGGCAGACTTAAACCATCCCTCACCTTCATTTCTTTTGTTGAAATGGGTCTCAAACTGGCCATCCTCCTACCTCAGTCTCTCCTCCACCTAATCTCAGCCATTCTTTGTGAGAAGCAACTGCAGGAAGAAAGAACACTTCACACTCTCTGGAAACCAATAGCAGAGCTTAGGAGTAACACTCATGGGCCAGTAATTACCACAAATCATTACAATCCAAAGATGGCTGGTTGGAGGGGCTCATCAGTGAAACACCTTTCCTGCCAGAGACAAGAATGGAGACAAACATGCTGTGGCATATATCTCTGTGGAGAAACAGGCAGGGGCCATGGAAATCCTCATCCTCTCTCCAACACCAAGACAAGCCCGACAGTGTGCCAAGGAAGGAACTGGGAATTACACCATTCAGCTCAACACAACTGCTTCAGGAACTCACTCCAAAGGGCAGCTGGTCCAAACCTGACCCTACAGGCTTGACTGATGGGATATTTTAAATCTAATAAACATTTATTGATGGGGGAAGTCCTTCTGTGTATATATTGTCTTACTGGTTGATGAATAAAGCACTGTTGGCCAATAGGGAAGCAAGATAGGTGGGACTAGGAGTCCAGGAGGATGCTGGGAAATGTAGTCAAGAGTAGGGAGTCGCCATGTGATCCCAGGAGGAAAGGATGTGTCAGGAGAGCATCCTTGGAAAGATAAGTCCTTATAAAAATATATATTAGTAATTATGGCTTAATAATTAAGTCAGAGGTAGCCATTAAGAAACCATAGCAACTGCTAACAGCTTCATAATTAATATAGTGTCTCGTGTGTTATTTGGGGGCTAAAGCAGCGATGGGACCCAGGTGGGAATCCTGCAACAGTTTATTATACTTTTCCTAATTTATTATTTTTTCCTTCACTTTTACCACTTTTTCTTTTAACCTCTCTTCTTTCTACTTAACTATATTTAACTATAACCTTCTGTGGTGGTTTGAAAATGAATGGGCCCCAGAATGGAACTGTTTGGGAAGGATTAGGGGGTGTGGCCTTGTTAGAGGAGGTGTGACCTTTGGGGTTTCAAAAGACTGCACCATAAAGTCTTACCAACATGACTGCCCAAATATGAGCTGAATAAAGACAACAACAATGGACACGCCAAGTAAACAGGAAAAAGTACATGAAGTCTCAACCCCATATGATGGCGGATGTCCTTCTGAATGCTGTGAATGTTTCTCTTACTGGTTGATGAATAAAGCTGTTTTGGACAATGCATAGGCAGGATGCAGCCAGGCAGGAAGTATAGGTGGGGCTACCAGACTAGGAGAATGCTGGGAAGAGGAACTCTGAGAATGAGTTGAGAGATGCCATGTAGCTTCCAAGGAAGCCAGAGGCCCAGATATAACCAGCAAGCCAAGACCATGTGGAGATACACAGATTAACAGAAATGAGTTAATAATTAAAAGAGAACTAGTCTATATGAAGCCTGAGCCATCAGCCAAACAGTTTATAATTAATATTAGCATGCAGCAGGCTTTTATAATGCTGGAAGGAACCTGCATTCTGCAGGGGGATAAAAAGCACTGATGGTCTTACTCAGACTTGGACACTACCTGCCACAATAACCAACCTACTGGGAAGATGTGCCCACTAGCGCAACAGTGGCATGACAGCTTTGGGAGTAACTCACTGCTTTCTGGTGGGATTGGAGGCTTGCTCTAAAGAAAGGGGTCCAGGTCTAACACTGTAAACCTGTTCAAAAGTCTACTCTAGTAAGGTTCATAGGTCACAGAGGAAACCTACCATTGTTTTGCTAAATGGTCATGCTGTCAAACTGTCTTCTAGTCATGTTTATAAGTCCACAGATTTGTGTTGCCCTCAATCTTGGCCAGAGAACTCTTCTTTTCATAGTAGGCAGCACTGAATAAAACACAACTGGGCGAGGTGCTGAGAACAGGTGATTAGGGGGGGCAAACCCTAAATGTGGCAACTATACCAACCCTACTCTCACCTAGGCTCAAAAACCAATGTAGAACAGAGGGAAGGAAACCATGTAAGAGGCCAAGGATGAGGAGTACCCTGAAACACTGTCTTCTGGATATGACATGGTGATTGCTCTCATGAACTCCTAACAGCTGTGGTTACATGCCCGAGCAAGAAAACAGTCAAAATTCCAGCATGAAAGGGGAGGGAGGCTCAAGGCTCTCGTACCCCTAGCTCAGGAGCCGACCGCAGTTGACGGCTGCTGGGGGAGGGGCAGTCATTTTCTTTTGGGGTGTGGCAACTGGTAGGCTGCCCATGCTCCATGGGATGGCTCCACCTCCATGCACACACAGGCAGTACTAATGGATTCCATGTCTCTTTTTCCTAAGAGGAGAGGGACGATGATATGAAGCTGGGAGAGGACCGTGTTGGAAGGGGGGTGTTCAGAAAGAAAAAGGTTTGGCCATGCATGCAGCACATGCTGACAGTCCCAGCACTAGAAAGGCAGAACCAGGGCAACAGCCAGGCTAAAACCAGCCTGAGCTACACAAGTTCAAGTGACTCTGTACCACAGAGGCAAGGGCTGGGAGTGTAGCAGTGACAGAGCATGTGCCTAGCAGGTGCTGGGTCCTGGGTTTGATCCTCAGCACTTTAAGAGGATGTGACGTTCAGCTCATTCTGGACTCCAGATTAGGGGTGCTCAACTTGTAACACTACTGAAATGGGTATCCTCTGGGCTGGGTGTTCTGTTTCCCTCTCCCAAATCCTAACCACAACCTTCGCTATTGGGCATGCCTAGAGCTGACCTATACCAACTACCTTCAACTGAGTGTGGCTAAAAAGAGTGGCAAAGAGAAGTCATTATGAGAATAAAGCTGATTGCCACCCTTGGGTCCCTCTCCATGAGATCACCTCATATGGCTTGTTCTCCAGCGATGGTCTTATAGCTCTAAGACCAGCCTCTTCTTCAGAAATGGTTCATCAACTGCACCCCTAAGATGAAGCCATGGCTGCCTGCTCACCAACTGTACCCCAAAGATGCTGACATTCTAGGTCTTCTCTGGGGTAAAATTTAGACATCTTATATTTGAAACTATATTTTATTCATGTTTAAGATTCAATATTCAGTCAGTTTAAATTATAATATTCAGAATACTATTCTCTTCAAGACATTTTAATTATACTCTCAGTCTCTAGCAAAAGAATTACTTGGTGTATTTACCAGCTCACGTAGCACGTTTTTCTTGTCGGACTTTCTTTGGACCACCAGTCCCCAAATAATCATACAGAAACTTATTATTAATTATGGAAGCTTGGCTGTAGCTTAGGCTTGTTCCCAACTAGCTCTTATAACTTAAATTAACCCGTTCCTATTCATCTGCATTCTGCCATGGGGCTCTTTACCTCTCCTCCATTCTGTAAGTCTAGTTGGCTTAATCCTGCCCACCCCAGATTCTTCCTCTCTCTGCCTATTCTCTCCTCCTAGCTATTGGTCATTCAGCTCTTTACTAAACCAATCAGAAGGCATCTTAGGCAGAGCACATCCTCACAGTGTATGAAAAGATTATCCCACAACAAGCTCGGTTAAATGTCTTGCTGTTAACTTATTTTTACCACACTGTGATTAGAGAATGAGGCTGCTCTGTGGCTCACCGCCATCCAGTCCTCAGCACTCCCAAGCCTCACTCTCTTTCCTGGTGACACTTACTGCCATCAGTTGTCAAGCCATTTCCTCCCAATGAAATATTCCCTCCTGGGGGATAAGGGATGCTCCTAACACTAAAGAAACCAATGAAATCTCCAAGGCTAAGGAAGTTCATCAGTTCCAGAGTCACAAGGCCCTGACCTCCAAGGCTGTATGAGCAGTAACGCTCACTGGTGAGGAGAGGAGGCTCCACGGCTGAGCACTTAAAAGTTGTGCAGATAGTTCTAGGGACGCAGCTGGGGTGGACTTTTTATAATATAGCTGCCTCTGAGTCACCCATGCTTCTGAAAGTCACGCCAAAAACCTCACTGAGTCAGGAATGCAGACTTGGATAAATCACTTCTTTGGTCTGTCGATGGTGCCCTACCTGAGAGAAGCATGTTGGATCGAATCTCCCCCAAAAGTCACACAGCACTTTAAAACTCTGTGACACTGAAAGCTTGCCTTTGCCCACTACATGCCGACTCTTTGTGGGGCAAGGCTTCCTCCGACTTTTCAAGGCCTTTCAAACATCAGAAGAAAGTCCACTCCGCAGCCTCTGAATTCCAGGACAGCACTGCAGCCCAGCACGTCTTCCTCACTCTGAGTGTTTTTCCCCTTGAGTCTCTTATCTCAGGGCTTGTAACTCACTTCTCATTTCCCTAAGTCCCTGTCCTCAACCTCATGGACACCCACATTAAGCAGCTCACAGCTACCTGTAACTCCAGCTCCAGGGGATCTGATGGCCTCTCCTGGCCTCCTGAGGCATCTGCACACAGATAATATATTCTTACACAGACACAGACACACACAATAAAAATTAGGGAGAAAAAAACGCTATCTTCACAATCACACTAAGAGAAAAAAGAGGCTCCGTTACTCACGATGCCCCAGAATTCATAATGCAGCTCTTGGATCCACAGAAACACTCTCTCCCATCATCGTGATTCATTCCAAGGTTGTGACCCAACTCGTGAGCAACAATGGATGCAAACGTCTCCACCGTGATTTGCCCAAACTGTCCAAACACAGGAAGATGCAATTAGGAAATGGTTTCTTTGTCACACTTTTGGTTTTTTGTCAAAAGGCAATGTATCTACTATACTGCTGACTGTATGTCAATCCAAGTGTCCAGTACCAGTCTCTACGTGCTCACTCTGATAAGAAACTGGAGTGACTCATGTGCTGATAACCAAGGGTTGGAGGTCACTCCCTCAAGCTTATGAGAAAACATGCTGATTTCTTTGAAATAGAGCCCGTTTCCTCATTCATAAAAAAAAAATAACACCCTGGTAAATGTTGTTGTCATTCTGACCCTCCTGGGAAGAGGGACTTTACAACTGAAGAACTACCTGGATCACACATGTCTATGAGACGTCTTTGTCAATGCATCTATGAGGGTCCAACCACTGTGGGCAGTTCGGTCCCCTCAGCAGGTGGTCCTGGGCTGTATAAGAAGTCTGAGCATGAGCCAGAGAGAGCCAGCACCCATCATTCCTGTGCAGTTTCTGCTTCAAGCTCCTGCTCCGAGTTCTTAGCCTGCATCCCCTAAGTGACAGACCATGACCTGAAGTACAAGTCAAATAAACCCTTTCCTTCTCTACAATGCTTTTGGTCATGGTGATTATTACAGCAACATAAAAGCAAGCTAGAATAGATAGTAACACATAATAAATACTAAAAAACCAACATAGTCTCTAGGGAAAGAGCACACATGCTACGCATACTATGTCCTTCATAACGTCCAACTACTGCAATAAAGATCTAAGGGAGAAGAACAGAGCCAACAAATGCTGGAGACTGTCATAATGCCTATATCCAGAACTGTACTTAATTAAAAAACAACATACCACATTAATCCCACCAGCGTGGCTTCTTGAACATACTGTTCCTACAAATGCCATTCCTGCAGTCCCACCAAAGCCTTTCTTCCTAAATGAAAATGTAAAGTCATAAAATGTACTTGGAGGAAAATGATACATATTAGTCCTGTTTCTATAGGTAATCTTAACCACACTGACAAAACCTTTAGAACATGGAGGGAAAATGACAAAGATAAATAACGTTTTACTTTGAGAGTATGAGGTTAGTGTAACAAATATAATCTTTTAAATTTTTTCATACAAATGATGATGCTTTTACATACCAAGCCAAGTTTGGGATTTTTCCTTGGTGGTAGCTATCTTCCAGGTTAAAAAATATTTCTAAAACTGTATTATATTTATTTGTTCAACAAATGTTAATGAAGAGAGACAGCAACACAATATATATATTCACAAGGAATTGCCCCCAAATCTGTAATGGAGAAAAACTTGCATGCCCAGAATTTTATAACTAGGCAAAAAGTAAGACAGTTACAAAACACTAGAAGAAAACAACCAGGCAAGTATGAGTTAGGAAAATCAGAGTTCAAACTGAGATGATTTTTAAACTCTATCCTGTTATGTGAAAATATTTTCAGCAAGAAATCACTTTTTTCTTTCCATATAATCTTTCACACAAAAAAATAATAATAACAACTGTAAAATATGCTGTACAAGGTGAGGAAAGAAGAAAGACATGGGGTAAAGACAAGGATAAGCCAGACACAAACGCATGGCCAGAGAATATAATAACCGCCGCAACAAAATTAGCAAGGCTTTTTTCTACTCATTTCATCATAGCACTTTTTAAAGCCACTTACAAAACCAACTGTGCACTGTCATGTCTCCGACGCGTTATAAGAAACTTTTCCCGCCACTGTACAAAGTTGCCCAACACATCACCAGCACCTCCAATTATATTGATTGGGTTTCTATCTGTCCAAATTTCTAGTCCAACTAGAACAATTCGAATGTTTAGCATGATATACATCTGGGGAGAAAACAAAAATAAAATACATGAAATACATTAAGAACAAGAGAAGGGATGGGGACTAGGACAGGGTCCTGCATCCAAGCTGGCCTTGAGCTTTCTGTGTTGCTAAGGAACTGAGGATGACCTTGGACTCCTGACCCTTCTGCCTCAGTCACAGGGGTCCTGGGATTACAGATGTGTGCCACCACATCTGGTGAAGAAAAACACTTCATAACATTTATGAAGGATGTAACCGATAAAGCTAAAGGATCCTCTGCCCCAAAATGAAAATCTATCCTTCCCCCACCAAGGACAGAGAACTAAGATTCAAACTCTTTTTTATTCCCACTGTAAAATCTGGCAAACACGGGAAGCTAAAAGTTTTGAGTAAATTTCATTCCTTATTAGATGGTTTGGATCTTGAATGTTGCTAATGGCCATGTGATAATAACTTTTGCTCTCCCCCCCCGTCCCATAATGACACTACAGAAGGGTGATGGAGCTGAGTAGAACAGGCCAGGCCCCTGACACTTCCTTGCAGAACACTAAGGAAACACAGCCTCTTCCTCTCCCTCTCTCCATATATTAGCCGTGAGTGAGCGAGTCACTCCACCATGCACACCCTCCATGAATGCTGTCCCATCACAGAAACCTCCCAAACTATACAGCCAAATAAACCTTTCTCTCTATCTCGAGTAGTTCATTAAAGTGGTGGAGAGCTAACTAGAACACAGACTAGACATAAATCCTCAGACATTTTACTGCGGAAATGTCATGACAGACCACCACATGACCCTGCTGGGTATACTGTAACATTCACAGTAAACCATTTCTAACCTCTTACCTAAAATCCTAACCACAGAGACACCAAAGATTTCAATAAAGGACTGTAGAACTCCTGTCTGTCTCACAGATATTGTGAGGAGCAGGTTAATAAATACGAAGTACCAGCTCTGATTTTTTTTATTTCTACTACATTTATTATGTGGTACGTAGGAGTTGAAGCATTTGTACCGCGGTGCACATGTGAAGTCAGAGGACAGCTTGCAGGGGTTCTCTCACCATATGGGCTCTAGAATTAAATCCCGGTCACCAGGCTTGGCAGTGAACACCTTCACCTGCTGAGCCATCTCTCCTGCCCCCAGGCTGGACCACTGGAAATCTTCCAAAGAACGCTGTCATGATCGTCACACCTGGGTTCACATCACACAATCTCCCACTGCATGGACTCCAGCATCTGCCTCTCCTCTGTCTGTCTCTGTGTCTGTCTCTGTGACTGTCTCTGTGTCTGTCTCTGTGACTGTCTCTGTGTCTGTCTCTGTTTCTCTCTGTCTCTCTGTGTCTATCTCTGTGACTGTCTCTGTCTGTCTCTGTGACTGTCTCTGCCTCTCTCTGCCTCTCAGTTTCTGTCTCTCCCTGTCTGTCTGTCTCTCTGTCTCTTCTCTGTCTCTTGGTCTCTCTCTGTGTGTCTCTGTTTCTCTCTGTCTCTCTCTGTGTGTCTCTGTTTCTCTCTGTCTCTCTGGGCCTGTGCCTCTATCTCTCTGTGCCTCTGTCTCTGTCTGAGTGTCTGTGTCTGTCTGTCTCTCTCTCTCTCTCTGCACACACACACACACAGCAGCAGCAGCAGCATTATTAAAAACGCCATTCTTTCCATTCAGAGCAGTAAGGTGCTTTCACATACATCAGAGCAGCTTCCCGATATGTTCTGAAGATGAGGCAGATGCCGATTTGGAACCTCTTACTCTTCTGAGTCTTTCTACATTTCTATTATCCTTTGAAATGTTATTTTAAAAGTTACAGAACAAGCATTTATATGGTCAGAGCTCAAAAATGACACACTTTAAATTTGCTCTGAGACTGTGTGAGGACAGCATGAAAAGAAATACAACTTACACTATCCAGATAGTTTGCTAGGCGGATCATCTCTTCTCTCACAGCAGTCTGGTTTTTCCCCATCATGTCATACTGAAAACACAAAGGAGGAAAAGCACGCTCGCAAAGCAGCGAAACAAGATGCCTCTGCAATCCCCTAAACTAAAGAGAAAATGCCAAGGATTTCTTCTGAACCAAAAACGGAAGCATCTAGACACTTACCAGCATTCGAAATGAACCAATTTCACTGTGGTGGCTGGGATGAGAAAGGTCTCCCATAGTCTGAGGCATTTGAACACTAGGTCCCCAGTCACTAGAGCTGCTGGGGGAGGTGACTAGGTGGGGACTTGCTGGAGGAAGTATGTCACTGGAGGCTGGCTTGATAAGTAAAATCCTCCCACCACTCCCAGTTTATTCTCTCTGCTTTGAGCTCCTGGTTGAGCCGTGAGCTCTCAGGTATTAGCTCCATCCATCATGTCTGCTACATGCAGCCATGAGTCCCCACCACCAGGAATCTAACTTTCAGGAACCATAAACCAAAATAAACTTCTATAAGTTGCCTTGGTCATGGTACTTTATCACAGCAACAAAAAATAATACACTTAGGGACACATTTTAGTGATAAATAAGAAAAGAATACTAAGACGCAATAATAAGACGCATTGAAGTCTTAGTTTTCTTCAAACATTGCGTAACTTTAGGATAAATTTTCTTCTCAGTTATTTTTATTGATTTTAGTGGTAAAGTATTCTTAAGACTTCACAAAGGTGTAATCTTAAAAGACTTAGATAATAGAATGAAAAATTAATAGAATTCCTAATCTTTTATCTCTTAGGCTAATGACATCAACAGTAAACTATTTCTAGATTCTAAGCTAAAGTAATAATGAGAGATTAGTCCAGGACCACAAGTTCAAAAATGTTATATGGTTACAGAAATAGAGATACACAAAAATTTTACCATGTTAAACCAAGTATTTATGCACCCTTTGTTTGTATCTGGTTAAATTTGCATGCGTATTTTAATGTTATTTTAAACAACCTACTTGCTAACAAAAAGAAAAGCTTACAGAGTTTGTGACTTTGCTCCGTGACAAAGGTCTTAACAACAGAATCTGTGGTTGTATCTGTCCAGCCAGATCCTGCATTTAACAGAGCTTGATGGAAATGGAACCACTTTTATTCTGAACCATTTTCTATATGAGTATAACCAGCCTATCTGGAGAGAATGATAGAGAAAAACACTTTCAATCTCTATTTCTGCCACTTGTCCAAAATACTTGACAGAACCTTTCGGTCTCTGCCGGGGCTGGGTTCACACTGGCTCCCCTTCCCTTGTTTCCAGGAAAAGGATCTTCAAAATGTTCTCTGCAGTTCACCTATCAAATCATGTCTATAAATACTTTTTCATACACACAAAAACGTAGAAGTCACCTGGAACATTTCCAATCATCTACACTGTAAATTATTTAAGAGCCATGTCAGGAATCGGTGATCTTGTAGCAGCTGAGAAGGATGCAGTACCTCTGGCAAGGAAAACAAGTAGCTCCGTGTTTTAGGACAAAAATGGAAAGCATCCAGCTGTTACCCTGTACCCTGAAAATAATAAGTGCTCCTACAGCATGCCAGGATCTGGGCCTGGTCTCTTACAGTGAGGAAGATATCCTCTGAAACAGCAAAATGGAAGTTAACTTCACAAGGTTACACCCAACTGTCCTGGCTTATAGCCACGACCTGTCAAGTAATCTGAAAAGAGTGGCAAATACAGCATAAGACAATTACTACAAAGGTTACAGGGGAGCCAGCACTCGGGAGACTCAAGCAGGAAGATTAGGAGCTCAAGACATAAGCAAGCCCCTGTCTCAAAATGGATGGACGGACGGATGAGTGGACAATTTTAGTTTTGAGATTACTGCTTAAGCCAACTGTTTATTGTGTTTTATATTTCCTTATTCACTTCTCAACTGCTTTTTTATGAAAAAGGAAAAGAGTCAGCAATTCCTACCCTTTCCTTGTCTACAACAATGAACAGCTCCACATAGCGGGTCTGCGGAAGCACGGCTCTTCTTCTCTGTTAAAACACAAGACAAGAACAGGTCTGTTATGAAGCTAGATACATTCCATACAAGCAGCGGTCAGACCTAATATCTAGTCATGAGACTTCACATCTGCTAAAAGCAGTATAAACTGTTTTACTTAGCATACCCATGTCAATAAAACAAGTGCTAGCTATTTGTACTGACAAGAGAAAAACTCTAAAGATAAAATTGGTTACCTATGTTTCCAAAAGAGCAGAATCGCTGATTTTTTTTTTTTTTAGTTGAAGCACATATACACACACCTTTTAAAGGGAAACCTGATTACCATGGAAAGACATGAAAAAAAAAAAAAAACCCTACTGAAATCTGAGAGAAAAAGATAGAACAGGTCACCAGTGTAAAAATGTGGCTTAGTTATGTCCTTTTATGGAAATTCATGCAAAACAGAATAAGCAAGACCCAACTACTCTCCAGTGGTTAATGAGTACGGGGCAGGAAAGGTAGTGACAGTAACGTCATGGTTAAGTGTTGGTTAATTTAAAATATGTCTTATGGCAGCATTGTGGAAAATGCATCTTAACCTCACAAAACAAAACTGCACACCTCACCCAGCATGTGGCACCATGTCACTCATGGAGAAGGAACACCCTGTAGCTGAGGTAAGCCGGCCCTGGAACCATAGCTGCCAGCAGCCCCACATCTTGAGCAGTCCAGGGAATCCTCAAGAAGCCTCAAAAGCAGGGACCTGAGTGCCCTTGAACAGTGTCTGAGGTAATAATGATCTTGAATCTCTATCTACCCGCCCTCCCCTCTCTCTCTCCCTACCTAGAGCTTGAGGCATCAAAGTGAAACCTCTGCTATCCTGTTGGCCAGAGTGTAATGATTGTACAGCAATGCCTAAGAGGACCACTGCCTAAGACTTAAGCCCTCCTTTAAAACATAGACTGCCCTCCTCTCAGCTTCCAGAAGTACGGATTGCTCATCCTCCCGTACCCTGGTTCTGATCCCAACGCCTGGCACAGAGCTGGGAAAAGACAACTAGCACTTTTTAGTGTGAAAAGCTATGATTTCTTAAAAAACAGTATGAGGCCGGCAGAGTGAGTGCGTAGCTCCTTACACGCAGCAGCTGAGTCACACTTGGGTATTCTTGCCAGTCCTCCTTTATGGCCTCCTTCTCTGTGTCCCTGTTAGAAACTCCACATCTCAAAGGCTCCTGGTGGACATCATCCATTGGGTAAAATATGTGCTCAAAGTTAGAGCTGTTGTGCAGAGGTTCAATTCCAAAACTGGCATTCTCAAAATGCAGCAATCCTCTGCGGGTTGGGGGACACAAGCCATCGTTAAGCAAAAAGAAATGCACAGGAGAATCAGAGCTGAATTTTAATCTCTAACACACAGAAGGAAGCTGCTGTGCACTATGGAGGAGAGGGCGTCAGAGTCCGGCTAGCACACATAAATGTCAACTTTCGGCCCTCCACTTACTCAGCTCCAGCATGAGGCCTGCAGAGCAGCTGGGAGGGAAGGAAGTAGCCTGCACCAGAGTTTGACTGGGAATGTGATTTCTACGAGCCCAGAGATTCTCAGCCTTAGTATAGAATCTACATAGAATTGTTCCCATTAAATTATTTAATATGCACAATATACTTAGACTACTTCCTGGCAGACAGCAACCATCTACTGATGCTGTTTCTTAAATGAAGACAATGGCAACCATCACCATTTGAGAATGGGAAGTAGTATCTATCAGTTCCATTGATCGGGACAGTTCCACAGCCTCAGGCCTCCAATGCCTGTAACAGCAGCGTTACTATAACTGGTATGTGACAGGATTTCTCTGAACCTTGTTTACTTTATGCAAATATAGTGATAATTTGCTTATCTGAATATGATTTAAAAAGCCCTTTTTTTGTCACTGTGACACTTGCATGAAATAAAACAGGAGAAAACCTTAAAACATATTAAAATGTATTGTTTCAAATAGCAAATGTTTCTATAGTCTCAAAAAATGAGATTCTCCCATCTGATAAATTACTAAGTTTTTCTAAACAAATATTCCAAGAATATCTGAGGCATGGCTGGAAAGGTCTTTAGCATCTCAAAGTAAAATCCAACTTCATTAAACACCGAAAGGACGCTATCTGGACCAGGGAGGAGAGGCAAGGGCAGAAAGCGGGGAGAGAAGGCAGAGACTCCTCACCTGAGTCCAGAGCAGACACTCACAGCAACGGCTGAATTGTGCACTCCCTCCACGTAGCCCCGGTAATGACAATGATTCTAAATGAAAAACACATGTGCTCCAAATAACACTGTATGGTTCAAGTCTCAAGACATTGCAAAGCTAACCACATTCCTAGGCAGGAGGGAGGAGCTAGAGTTCCAGCTAGCCTGGGCTACATAGTTAAACTCTGTCGCAAAAGTAGTAAGACGAAGATCATCTAGGTACAATGAAAAGAAAGACTAAAAACCTTTACTACTTTAATAAACAATTTAAGCCGGGCAATGGTGACGCACACCTTTGATCCCAGCACCTGGGAGGCAGAAACAGGCTGATCTCAGTGAGTTCGAGGCCAGTCTGGTCTACAGAGCGAGTTCCAGGACGGTTACACAAAGAAACCCTGTCTTGAAAAAAACAAATAACAGTAATATATGTGGGGGGCTTCACAGGGCATGACATGGGACAGAGAGACAGGCAGAGGAGGAAAGGGAGAGAGGGGGAAAGAGGGAGAGACGGAGGGGGGGGAAGGGAGAGGGGAAGAGAGGGAGAGAGAGAGATGAAGATGGAGGTGGGAGGTGGGCAGGGCCCTTTTGTATTATTCTGTTAAAATTATTTCATATCATGACAGTATTTCTTTTTTTTTTAAGATTTGTTTATTTATTATGTATACAGCATTCTGCCTTCATGCCAGAAGAGGGCACCAGATCTCATTATAAATGGCTGTGAAACATAATGTGGTTGCTGGGAATTGAACTCAGGACCTCTGGAAGGGCAACCAGTGCCCTTAACCTGTGAGCCTTCTCTCCAGCCCCCCAGGGCAGGGTCCTTTTAAAAGGAACTTAGTGAGTATGCATAGGTGGTGCTCTTAGTGGCTGCAGCTGAAGGCATGTCTTGTCAGAACCCCAAGGACAGGCCAGCACTAGCACTGACCCCTCTGGGGGTTGAAGAACCCTTTCACAGAAGCTCTACAAACGCACTTACTTACATGGCAGAGCTTCAGCAGCCCTCCTGTGTAAGGAAGGACCCTGAACCCACCCCCATACAGTAAGAGCATCGCCATGGGACAACTATCGGGAACGACTGATTTGAGGCAAACGCTGACTACCGGAACTGCTGAACAAAAACTTAAAGGTTGAGGACTTATACAACTCCAAGTTCTGAAGGTAAAAATAGTAACTTTCTCCAGTAATTTCTTTCCCAAGGAGAACCTCAGAAGCTGACTCCTTAGCCAATCACTGACCTTGTTAACCATTAAAGCGCAGGACCTGGGCAGGATGGGTCACTAATAAGACACACTGGGAAACAAGGTGACCCTGAGTCCATCAGCCTGATGACATCTGTTTAATAATTTGCTTTATGAAGCATTTCCACAACACTGTTTAGTTCTGCTGCGGGGACCTTATCTACATGAGCAGACCTGCCAAGAAAGACCCAAGCCCTTCAATGGTGCTAGAATGTCACTAATGGGGTGAAAGCCTGCAGTCGTCCACACACTTAGACTTGTCACGTGCCCTTGCTCTCCATCCAGCCCCACATGAACACTAACAAACGGCCATCTGCTCCAAGGCCAAAAGGACTTTGTCCCAGGTCACTTCGTGTTCTCCAAGCCTGTACAATTCTCCTAACCTTTACTTACTGCTCCCTCGAAGTTCCCCAACTCCCCACTCCTAGAGGAAACAGGGTATGTGAGTTTCTAGAGCATGCTAGGCTAGCTATGACCACACTGATTTCTTACACACTGTATCCCTTCCCTTTTATTAAATCTGTATTTGTTTTCTCTTATTTAATCCCCATCAGTTCATTCCAGCAAACTTTCAAAGAATGGAGAGAAAATTTCCCTTCACCAACATAGTTCTCAAAACACAACAAATTCTGTTTGCAAATTTACAAAACTGATAACACTACAAGGCCGCAGTGCAGAAATGTACATAGTGAAGTAATGCCTGGTGTGCACCACACTGAAGACATGCCTGGCGTGCACCACGCTGAAGACATGCCTGGCGTGCACCACACTGAAGACATGCCTGGCGTGCACCACGCTGAAGCACACAGACTCAAGGAAACTCTGGCTCCTAAGAGCAGAGCAGAGCAGAACCACCATAGAACAGCCCACTAGCCCAGGACCCAGGGAGCCTTGGCAATCCGTTCTCAGAGAGAAGGAAAGTCATCAGTGCCCAAGGGGGCAGAACTGTGAGAGAGTGGAGCTGTGAGAGGGGTGGGGCTGTGAGAAGGGCGGAGCTGTGAGATGGGCGGAGCTGTGAGGGCGGGGCTGTGAGAAATTCTACCAAGTCCCAAAATAATCCCAAAGTCCTCAAACAATATAATTGCCCAGTTTTCTTTTTATTAAAAATGACTTTGTGAGAGGCAAAAAACAGCTTTATTAATTGCTTCAATCTTAAGAAGTAGAATCCCAAAGGAAAACATTTAAAGTTTACAATTTACATGTAAATTAAGTGTGTGTTGTAGACAATACCATGTCATTGTAAGGGACAATCTAGCCACATACAAAGAAATGAGTGTCTAAGTTTTACTTTGTACTTCAAATCTATTGGCACACTTTCATTTACCTGAACAATTTAAACAACCAAGAAATAATTGAAATACACCATGTTGATACCTGATATTTTTCAAACACCTAGCAAAAAACTACCATTCTATAAAGCTTAAATTATTGAAGTTTCTATACAACTGAAATCTATTTTTGAAATTTTAAGTAGATAGCCTTTCAATAATAAATAATAGTTACATTTATTTATAAATTGCTGAACTATCTCTTGCAAACAACCCTCAAGTATTAACTCATTAAAGTCCCCCAGTAACTCTGTGAAGTTACAGCTACCTTGCCCATATTAAAGTGAAGATACCAAAGCACTAACAAGTTGGTACAATCTCACCAAACAATAAATAAGGAGCCAGAATTCAAGCTTAAACAGCACCTGTATGGGAAGGAGGCTCCACAAAGAACAGTAAGGGCTCAGGGGCATCAACTGTGATCTTTGGCTTCATAACATAGCAATCTCTGGATGGATGAAGAGATAGATGGATTATCTTTTATCTGGAATATACTAAAATGTCCATTTAATCTCTTCTACTATCTTCCTATTAAACAATGCAAAGTCAGTAAGATAAAGGAATCAGATAGTGGACAAGAAATAGGGCAAAGTCAGCATTTCCTTATGTTTTTGTATAGTGCAAACTAAAGAATTTGCTTCCGGTTCTTTTGAAGAACGCAACAAAAGCTATTACTGATGTACATGATTCATCTGACAAAGCAGTACAAAGTTCAAGAGAAACAGGAACAGTGGGAATAAAGACTTCTCATAAAAACTACTGCAAAAGAAAAAGTGTGCAATGCCTAAGTGCCCAGGGGACTATAAAACACTCCTCCTAAGCAAAACTAGAAATGTTCATGCTCTGAGAAGAAAAAGCTACCACCCAGCCAGGCTCAGCACCTGCCAAGTACTTGGAGAATTCCAGGCCAGCTCTGTCCCCAAGAGTGTTCTGTTGCCTGACACAGAGAAGACCACACCTCTTCAGGAATGAAATGTCAGCAAAAAAAATCAGAACATCAGAATACGTAATAACAAATCAATGTGTTTTTGCTGGACGTGAATAACAAAAGGAAAGTGTGCTTTTAAATACTAATATTTTACCAAAACAGTAAAAGCTCCCATCTCCAAAGTATCACTCTAACCCTTCATAACCAATAAAGACTGTCATTAGAGAGACAGTTATTTTCCCATCTTTTAAACACGAATCTCTCTTTTCTTTTTTTGTTCGTTTGTTTGTTTTAATACAGTCCAGGCTGGCCTTGAACTTACAGAGATCCACCTGCCTCTGCCTCCCGAGTGCTGGGTTTAAAGGTGTGCACCACCACCTTCTGGCTTTAAACCCAAGTCTTCACCAATCAGTGCAGGAGAGCTGTACGGTATGGGATCAGTCTCCTTCAGGGCCATCATAGAAGGATGCGGGAGATGACCCGTGGGGCTGGCAACAGGGCAGCCCTGGAAACCTGATGCACACTTTAAACTGTAAAGTATCAAGAGGAAAAGAAAGTACCTACCTGTACGCTGGGACGGTCAGAGAGCAGAGCGCCTTCCTCGTCATAGGTATAGACTACAAAGTCGTGAGGTAAAAGGTCTCTGGAAGAGAAATAAAACAGATGTGTGAGTATCAACAGCCTAGGCACAGCTCATAAGAAGTTATTCCCAGAAGAAGGAGGCAGAAATTCACTTTTAAAAACTTTTTACCTGATCCATCTTTTAAAAGAAAGTGCTACTATAAAAGTAAAAGCTAATAAACAGACTTGAGCTTCAAACATTAGTTGAGTAATGTAAAGATATGATTTGCTCTCTTGACATAAGATGTTAACTGTAACAAACAGTATTCTTAAATGTTTCTGCTATAACTCACAAGAAAAGGACAAATGAGGCTGCTTGACACTGTTATATTTGTACAAGAAAAGTAAGTATTTATATCCGTTTCTACAAAGTACTATGTAAACAAGAAACATTCACTGCCTTAACCTATGTATGAAGATAAATGCCTGCCGTCCATTGTTAAAGGAACTGCTTCCCCTCAGGCTGAGGAACAGTTGTGTAAACCAAGGCAAAGCAAACGTCTCTCACACTGATCGCAGCAGTTTGAGGTGATCTCCAGGGAAAGCAGAAATGCAGGATGAACTGTGAGGTTAAAGATGCCCAAGACCAGGCCGGGCGGTGGTGGTGCACACCTTTAATCCCAGCACTCGGGAGGCAGAGGCAGGCGGATCTCTGTGAGTTCGAGGCTGGGCTGGACCAACAGCCTCCAAAACAATACAGAGAAACCCTGTCTCGTAAAAACCAAAAAAAAAAAAAAAAAAAAAAAAAAGACGCCCAAGACCAACCGACCCTTCTGTCCAGAGATAACAAATTGATATTCTTCACCAAATGTCACTGCTTACCCTGACACACTTCAGCTACATGACCACTGCGGCACAGAAAACCCTTGGTGAAACTGTGTCCTTGCCTCTTTGAATACAGGAAACCCCATGGCCACAAATCTGGAGGCAAAGCAGTCCCTGTGACTAAGAAAAGACCCTGGAGTACTTGAAGCTCCAAGACTCCAAGTATTCTTTGTCCCATTCGTTGTGTTTTTGTGAAGATGTCTTCTCTGTGAGCGGTATCTATAGGAGTCCATGTGTTGCAATTTAAAAAAAGCAGTGTGCGTGACAGAGAAAAATGCCAATGCAACAGCATTCAAGCAGAGGGGTTTTTTTTATTAGGGGAAGGGATCATAAAAATGGGAAAGGGGAGGGGGGAGATGGGCCTCTGAAGACAGTAACAGCAGGAGAGAGGAGAGAGGAAGAGAGAGAGGAAAAAGAGGGGAAAGGGGGGGGAGAGAAAGAGAGGATGGGAGGTGAGCAGGATCCTTTAAAAGGGAACACAGGGCTGGAGAGATGGCTCAGCCGTTAAAGGCTAGGCTCACAACCAAAAATATAAAAGGAACATAGTGAATGTGCACAGGTGGTGCTCTTAGTGGCTACAGCTGAGGGCGTGTCCTGTCAGAACCCCAAGGACAGGCCAGTATAGATGCCTAAATACTAACACTATGGAGTTGAGTCTTTTCATAAGCTGACCTCAATGGGCACTGGAGGCTATACACACCACACACACACACACACACACACACACACACACACACACACACACACCCCACCCATGCAGCCCATACATACCCCAAACCACTCACACATACACACACACCCCAAACCACACACCCACACATCCTACACACACACACACTCACTCTCTCTCTCACACACACACACACCACACACACACACACACACACACACACACACACACACACACACATTCCCTAAAGGTGAATTTGAAAAGAATTAAGCTATATACGCCTGGCTTCCCTCTGCATATTCCTCTGGGAAGTTACCACCTGTCTAGCCATATCATGAATTCTTGTGGACTTCAAGTGCAGGCCTACCCCTGTGCATCATGGTCAACAATAACTAAATCTGATGATTTCAGGGTTCAGACTCCACTAAGCACTACCCAGAAAAGAAACCAATATAATGTTGAATGGAAAACATAATCAAAGAAGCAATGTAAATGAAATGTCTTACATGTTTCTTTCCAAATGAATAATATGCTGTTTTCCTTGAGCCTCTATGACATAAGACACCTAAATGCACAGAAAAAGAAAAAAGCAATAATAAAACACCATTCTGTAAATTACTTTTTAACATATCACAAGAGGCAGGAAAGGTCATTCTAAATTAAAATAACTTGGCAATGACTGCAACTGTTTATAGAAAGTATTCTTAAGTAAAATATATTTATTCATCTGTCTCACTTTAGTACCTGATCACAGAAAATTGCCTACACATGTATCTCCTCTTTTTTAAATTTTTTAGATTTATTTATTTTATGGGGGGGGTCTCTATGTCTCTATGAACACCACAGCCAACAGAGTGTCAATCTGCAAGAGGCAAAAAGGAAATCAGGTTTTAACATGATTGAGTAGTCGGAGTTAGCTCAAACTTTGAGAGTTTGGCACCAGGTAGTTTATTTTAGGCATATTTAAGGACAGCACAATTTGGAAAAAGTTTCCTGGTGATAATTAACTCAGTCCTATGTGCACAAGAAAGCTTAAGACATGACTACATAGAAACTTTTTAAAGTACATGTGACATCACCCATAGAGATGAGTTCTACAGATTGACCACATGTGACATCTTAAGGGACTAGGGGAGGGTCTGGTGTGGTCTTAGTCATGCAGGTTATAAACCACCTCTACTCCCAGCCTCCTGGGCAGAAGACAAGTATCTCCGCCTTTGAGATGTTTAACACGCCTGGTTTCCCTACTGCTTATCTGTGACCACAAGGACTTCCTTGCCTCCTATGTGCGTGTTTTGCCTGTGTCTATGTATGTATACCATGTGTGTGCCTGGTGTCCTTGAGTTCAGAAGAGAGTATCATATCTCCTGGAACTGGAATTATGGCTGGTTGTGAGCCAATGTGTGGGTGCTGGGAACAGACCCCAGGTCCTCAGCAAGGGCAACAAGTGACCTTAAGCTATGAGCCGTGTCTCCAGCCCTAGTTGTCTGTTCTTCCTAAATGTGTTCATGAGTCAGCTGTAACTTCAGGGACTACTTCTCAGAGCATCCTCACGTGAGTTCTTCCTTCGTGTAAGTTTCAGGAGATTATCTAGTTATACAACAGTGCACAGGAAGTTCCCCGTCTCGTATGACCTTTGCAGCTTATCTCATCAACTCTAACACAACTCACACTTTCTCCTCCTGCCAATGGAACTCTGGAGTGGGAACACATCACACACAGTAATCTCGACAGCAGCACTTCAGTTTCTGCAGTACTGATAAATGGTGTCTTACAACTGAAGTCATCGTAGAGTTAATTATTTAGATGAATGACTATGACTTTCTCATCTTCAAGGTCAGGGGACCTTTTTCTCTATCTCAAACAACTTCCCTATGCTAACTATAGGACAAACTATTGATCTTAAGGTCATGTACCAGGGCTTGGTCCCAAGAACAGTACCACTGGGAGGTGCAGAGAATCCAGATGTACATGGTTATCCCATTAATAACAAAAAAACTCCCTCTAATGAGAAAATAACACTTGATTTCCTGATAAACAGTTTTGCTATTTTTTTAAATTAGCACATAAAGTACTTGATATTAAAACTCATAACTACTTACTCCCTGAAACAGTCAATGCTGCAAATATCACCTTTCATTAAGAAAAGAAAGAACTATATTATAGTTCTGGAAATAACTCACCTGCTTTGAGCTGGGCCTCAGGGCTTCCCTTCTTTCTCTAGTTAATCTCCAAGGCGTTATAACTTCATAAGAAGAAAGATGCTTTGTCTGCTGAAAGGCTGCAGCAAAAAGAACAACAAATATAGCAAAGTGAACCTGAAAAACCTACGCGGTACCAAAATACTGACGCTAAAAACTGAGTGTTCAGTGGGGTGTAATGCCACACATTTTTAATTCCAGCACTTGGGAGGCAGAAGCAGCAGGATCTCTGTGAGTTCGAGATCAGCCTGGTCTACATAGTGACTTTAGGACAGCTACAGATACACAACAAGACCCCATCTTGAAAAAAAAAAATTAAGTGTTCAAGTCATTGAAAAAAAAATCACCTGAGAGTTATGTGACTTTAATTTTTTATTAGTATTCCGTTTTACAGGTGTTTTGACTGCATGCATGTCTGTGCACCATGTGTGTGCGTGGTGCCCACAGAGAGTCCCACTGAAAGTGGGGCTAAGGAGAGTTGTGAACCACCATGTGGGTGCTGACAATCAAAACCGGGTCCTTTGGAAGAGCAGCCAGTGCTCTTAACTGGTGAGCTGTCTCTTCAGACCCTCTTGTGATTTTTTTTTAATATATAATCCTAGATAAGGATGAAAGTAAAAATATTTCCTGAGAAAAAGATACCAGTCTGTATCCAAACAGTATGTGTGTGTGTGTGTGTGTGTGTGTGTTAAAACAATCATTTTCTAACATCTTGCATCTGTATACCCTAGTCCTTTTCCCCAACATGAAGAAAATAACAAGAGATTTAATATGGCAGAGTGCCAGGCTAGGGCTCAGCGAATCTACTCGTCTCTTCCTCTTTCCTATGCATCTTGAATGACACCCTAAGAGAGTCTCTAAACACCAGATAAAAATGGTAAGGGCAAGATATCTTTAATGTGTAAAGGGTCAACTCTAATATGCACTAACAATGGACCGACTGTCTCACAGGAAGTGACTACACTATGAGTCCATCAGAAGAAAAATTTACATGAAAACTATTAACAGTTAAGAACTCCAGTCATACATGCTTAGATTCTAAAGTTATCTGTAAAACCAAGTGTCTTAGTTTGGGTTTCTACTGCTGTGAAGAGACACTATGACCATAGCAACTCTTTTTTTTTTTTTTTTTTTGGTTTTTCCAGACAAGGTTTCTCTGTGGCTTTGGAGGCTGTCCTGGAACTCACTCTGCAGACCAGGCTGGCCTCGAACTCACAGAGATCCGCCTGCCTCTGCCTCCCGAGTGCTGGGATTAAAGGCATGCGCCACCAACGCCCGGCCTCATAGCAACTCTTATAAGGCAAACATTTCATTGTGGTGGCTCATTTACAGTTCAGAGGTTTAGTCTATTATTGTCATGCAGGAAGCAAGGCAGCATGAAGACAGACATGATACTGGAAAAGGAACTCAGAGTTCTTACATCTTGACTCACAGGCAACAGAAAGTGGTCTGAGACACGGGACATGGGCATGACTTGAGCATATATGAAACCTCAAAGCCTGCCTTTACAATAACATACTTCCTCCAACAAAGCGACACCCACGACAATAAAGCCACACCTCCTAATAGTGCCACTCCCTTTGGGGGGCATTTTCTTTCCAACCACCACACTGAGTACAACCAGAACTGAAAGATAGGGCCAGATATGGTAATGCACTCTTCAATCCAGTGGTGCTCAGCCTGCAGATCATGACCACTTTGAGAATCGAATGACTGTTTGATGGGTTGGCTAAGACCACCCGGCATATCATTTATTTACGATTCATAACAGCAGCAAAAGTAGCTGTGAAGCAGCAATGAAGATAATTTTATGGTGGGGGTCACCACAGCATGAGAAACTGTTACTAAAGAGTTGCACACAGCATTAGGAAGGTTGAGAACCACTGCTCCCATCACTTGGGAAGCAGAGACAGTCAGATCTGAGTTCAAGGTCCGCCAGGAATACATAGTAAGACATAAAAGACCCTATTGCAAAAGAAAAACAAAAAATACCACCCCAAACTGAACAATAAATCATGTTGGAGGTAGCCCCTCCTCTCACTGAGCACAACACAAAGTATCTTCCCTTGCAGTATCATCACTGAGCGCGTGACAACTCTTTTTCCTTGTTTTTATTGTTGTTTGTTACTTTTGAGACATGATCTCACTAACTACTCAATATAGCCTTGAACTCATGACTCTCCTGCCCTCTGTTCTGTGTTGAGATTACAGGAGCTCATCACCACACCCAACAGCCATGAGGAAAGTTCTTTCAGTGAAGTCTGATGAGGGATGGTCACTGGCCACCAGTAGGGAGCTTCAGACTGGAATGCCAAGGAAGGAGCACAGCTGCATCTCACTAAGTCACAAGAAGGGACGTGGGGAACACCACAAATTTAAAAAAACCTCACAACCAAATGCAATCTATGGGCCTGTTTGGATCCCTGTTAAAATGAATCAGCTGAGTAAACTCTGAGGAAGCCTGGGAAATTTAAACACAGCAAATGTTTGATGATCTTGAGGAGTTCTTATCATATTATTACTGTACTTAAGAATTTGTGATTTAGTGATTCATGCTGAATATTTTGTGATAAAATGTGTCTAGACATATTAAAATAACTACCGTGAACTTGAAGGAAATACACAGAAAACAAGATTAAACCTGGATCTGGATAATGCATGTATTACCAGGAGCTCACTCCTTTTCTTCTGTATGTTTAAAAACTTCTAAAATAATATAATTAAGTAGTTACCTACAAGCATGCATGGGGAAAAAAAGACTAAAACTCCTGCTTGTTAAGAGAAGATTTTTCCTTGCTAGCCGCTTTGGTTTATCCCCTGCCAGTTGCCTGGGCTCTGCCGAGTTGTAGTCCCCAAATAACACACAAGATGCTGTATTAATTATGAAGCTGTTGGCCTTGCTTGTTTCTTACTGGCTAGCTCTGACTTAAGTAATTACCCCATAATTGTTAATCTAAGTATTTCTCTTACCGGAGAATAGTTCCGGGCTTCCTACCCCATGGCGGTTACATCTCGAACTCTCTGTGTTTCTCCTTCCCAGAATCCTCCTGGACTCCTAGTCCCACCTATCTAGATTCCTATTGGCTCAACAGTGCTTTATTAACAAATGCACAGGACTTCCCCCATCACCTGCTGCATACAATTATAATTACAAAATACGATACTTGGGCTGGCAAGATGGTTCAGCTGGTAAAAGACTTGCTGCCCAGCCTGACAACCTGAGTTGATTCCTGGGATCCACATGGTGGAAGACAAGAACCTACTTGTAAAAGTTATACTCTGCCCTCCCTGATCACACACAAATAAATGTAATTTTAAGATGTAATACTACTATACTTACATACTGTAAGCTGTGACTCTAAAACACCACAAATATGGAAATAGCATAAATCAATGAACCCATCTTTAATGTATTTTCCATGTTGAGGAGGGTCAGGAAGCAGCAGAAGTATATTTCCTACAGTGTGTGTCCGCAATGTCTGAGACATTTTTACAACGACATGGATGTTGCCTCCACTGTTCTTTGAAGTTAAAGAAGTAGTAGGAGTCTCCTTTGCTAAACTCAGGACCTGCTCAGGTGCTGACAGTGATTACCTGGCATCTTTGCCTGTCATCACTTCTGAGGTCTTTTCCAGATGCTATGGAACAACCCTGGGAGTTGCACACCAAGGAAAGGCTCCACCAGTGAGCGTCCCTCACTACCTCACACCTCAAGTGTGGACTGGCCCTTTCACGTGGGCCTGACACCTGCCTGCTTCAATGCCGATTGCGTCTCATTCACATTAGCTGTCTTCCCTCAGCCTTCTCACACAGATTTGGATGAAGTATTGCATCTAACTTTTTCCAAATTGACACTGCATACAAAAAAAAAATAGCTAGTGATTTCAAAGACGTCAACAGGAAAACAGGTCCAAAACACATTATATTAAGAGTGTCCCAACTGCTCTCCATTGCTCTCTTAGGCATTTTAACTTATACCATGATGGACCCAGATATTTTGTCAACTGGGAAAAATAAAAACTAATACCTTTTGATACACTACCCACTAGGCAGAAATACCCATAATCCTAAATAAACTGAGGTTTGAGATTATTCCTTCACCTCTTAATGACCTCCAGTCTTCTCCAACTCCTAAAACATATGACTAAATAGTATCCTCCTGCAGCGGTAACCTGCCCCACTGCTACAACAGTCACCCTGGAAGTGTGGCAAGATAAACACAACACTGCAGCTGGATAATAAATTCTGTGTGATCAAACGTAAACTACGTTCCAGAAAAAGATGACAAAATGTTGGGAGGGATAAGAAGGTGTGGGTGGAGATGAGGAGGACTGGGAGGAAATATGATCAGAATACATTGTAAGAAATTTTCAAGGAACTTTTTAAAGTAAACTAGCCTGAAGCAAGGTGGAAGAGACAAGCTTATAATCCCAGCACTCAGGGGGGGTGGGCACAGAAAAGGCACAAATCCAAAGCCAGCTTCAGCCACAAAACAAGTTTGAAGCCAGCCTGAGTTAGAGGTCTAACTAAAAAAGAATGGGGAAAATGGCATATTTTCCTCCAGCTTCCTGCCATGACTCATTATTTCAAAGACAAAGTTTAAGCAATTCCCTACAGCCAAGAACATATATGCTGACAGGCACAGTTCACCCATACAGGAGAGGCTGAAGCACAGGCAACTAAATGAAAACATTTGCACTACAATTCAGAAGTGAACTTCACAGACAGAAAAATATGAAACACTCCAAAAAGACTGAATTTGAAGTTCTAATGGGCAGGCAGATATCCAAAACAGGTTCTGTGACTTTCAAAGGTCATCTGCCTTCTTTAGGCCAGGAAAGGTCAGGTGTTCTGTTTTCTAAGGAATTGTACCTGGATGGCTACAGGGAACAATAAAAGCTAGATACAAGAATAGAAAGTAGGCCAGGAGTAGTGGCACAGTCTTTAATTCCAGCACTTGGGAGGCAGAGGCAAGCAGGGCTCAGTGAGCTTGAGGCCAGCCTTGTCTACATAGAGTTCCTGAACAGCCAGAGCTACACAGTGAGACCCTGTCTCAAAACAACAACAACAAATATAAATT